ATGTTTCTTTTCTGGCTACTGCCTTGGATTATTGTTCTTTTTTTACTGCTACCTTGGGTTATTGTTATTTTTGGATTATTATATTGTTATCCAAGATTCATGGATAGTCTGCTTCCTTCCAGGTGGAGAGAGAACCTAAGAGAACAAGTCTTCGAACGCACCAGCAGTTACACAGGTAAAGTTGGGGGCCTACCCCACTGCTACCCATTACCCCAGGACATAGGGTCTGCTTTTCATGTCACTGACAAGTGCTGAGGGAGTCGGATATGGAGGGTTGGGACCAGAGAAAAGTGAGAGGTGTAGCTGGGCACAGATTCTGGAGGGCACTTGACATCAGGCTCATTTTGGACTTCATTCTCTAAGCAGAGACCCCATAGGAAGATGTTGAACATGGTATTTACTTTTTATTTCTTCATATCTTTATTCAGCACACAGTTCTTGAGTTCTCACTTTGTGCCAAGCACCCTGCGAGGGACTGAAGATCACTGAAAAAATGGAGGTTGGCTCTAGAGAGCAGAGGGTTGGCCCACAGAGAACAGTGAAGAAGCAGACAAAAGTATAGCTATTGACACCAGTGGTCCAGACACCCACATCCAGAATAGCTGTGGGCAATGTGGTGGAGGGACGGGGGCGGGGTGGGGGCGGGGGCACAGCAGAGATCCTGAAGTGCTGGACTAGAGTCTGGGCTCTGCATATAAGCAGTCAGGAGATGGCAAATGAGTTTCAAACAGGGGAGCAATATGCTCAGTTTCTGTGTAGAGGGGATGGAATAACAGAATACTTTATTATTAAGCAGAAGAATTCAGGTGCTGAGGAAGGGAGATAGGTCCTGTAAGGGAAGGGTAAGCTAGACTGAACTTTCAAAAGGTTATGGCGATAATCACATTGTTATTGGTTTGGGAAGCCAGTTCAATGTCAAAGGAAAAACCAACTAGAAGGCAGAGGACTGTGCAGTACATGATACTGCTTCTTTCACAGTTCCTGGAACCTTTAGTAAAGCAGCACAAAATCATGAATTAATTTAATTTCTTGTGGATGGTGGTGAAGATCCTGAGATGCTATGCACCAGTGGTAGATGATTGAATAACACAATACTTAGAGTCAGGAATGGATCCACAGGGACTCTGAAAGAATATGTTTAGAAATTTGAATAAATTAAATGGAAGTCATTTATACTGTGAAACTGAAGGTTCAAACCAAGATTGTCCAAATCTCTTGAGGGGAGGAGAATTCTCAAGTAACTCTGAGTTACATGGATCTTAAGATCACTCTACTGGCTGTTAAGAAGTCTGGGGGCTGTATTCCAGATACCTTATGATTTTCAGTAGTTGCATGAATAAACTAAGGCTGCCATAATAAAATATCGTAAGCTGGTGACTTAAGCAACAAAAGTTTATTTTCTCACACTTATGGAGACTAGTTCAAGATCAGTGTGTCAGCAGGTTTGGTTTCTTCTGAGCCCCTGTCCTTGGCTTGCGGATAGCCACCTTCTTGCTGTGACCTCACACAGCCTTTCCTCTATGCGCATACACATCTTCAGTGCCTCTGTTTGTCTCCAAATTTCCTCTTCTTCAGGCAGATTGGATTATTGCCCACCCTAATGGCCTTATTTTAATAAACTCTTTAAAGGCTCTTATCGCCAAGTATAGTTTAGATTTTGAGGCACGGGGGGTTAAGGCTTCAACATGTGAATTTGGGGGCACACAATTCAGCCCATTACTAACAGAGCCAAAAAATAAAAAGAACATGGAAATGGTGAGGAAATCATGGATAGGAGAGGTTTGGAAGGAAAATTTGAAGATATGTATACCTTGAATGAAGGAAGTGGCTATAATGCCTTAGAAAAAGTACTCAGTTAACTTCCAACACCCTTCATGTTAAAATGAAAAGGAGAGAAGGTGAATAGAAAATGAGTATTTCAGTTTAAGAGTTTTTAGTTGCCTACTGCATAAACTAATTTTGTCTGATCTAAGCAGAAAGAAAAGGTATCAAAAGGCTCTTTGAGTGCTTCCAAGAAAAACCTAGAAGGTTCAAGACCAAGTTTAGAATCCTGGAAGGAACAAGTAAGACTAGATAGAACCCAAAACCTCAGTCTAGGTTGAGGGGAATAGAGCCCCCCATACTAAGCACAGTGCCACATCTTACACCATAGCCACCAACAGGATGGGCATGTATGGTTGTTGCCATCAGAAGATATTCAGCACCTTTCTAGCTTTAGGATATATTTTTTCAGCACTCTAAAGAACTCAGTCCTTTGTTTTCTGTCTTATATAGTTTCTTTTTCTTTTTAAATCCTCCCCTGAGTATATTTTTCCATTGATTTTAGAGAGAATGGAAGAGAGAAGGAGAGACAGAAACATCTCTGTGAGAGAAACACATTGATTGGTTGCCTCTTGCATGAGCCCGACTAGGGCCCTGGCTGGGGAGGAGTCTGCAGCCAAGGTACATGCCCTTGACTGGAATTGAACCTGAGACCCTTCAGTCCACAGGCCAACGCTCTATCCACTGAGCCAAACCGGCTAGGGCTCATATAGTTTCTTATGAAAAGTCTTCCAAGAAAAAAATAGGTTTTTCATTTTCTTTTCTTTGTTCCTCTACTTCTAATATGTCCTTTTTCTCTGCTTTTTAAAACATTTATCTTTATTGTTGAAAGTATTAGAAATGTCCCCTTCTGACTGCTTTTTATGATTGTTTCTTTTGTTACTGGTTTTCAGTAATTTTATTATGGCCAGGAATTTAGGCATGGGTTAGCTGGGTACTCTGTTTAGAGTCTCACCAGGCTAAAATAAAGGAATTGGCCTGACTGAGACTTAAGATTACTCTTTCATTCTCACTGGGTTTTGGCAGAATTTAGTTCCTTAGAATTGTAGGACTGTAACTGTCCCTGTTCTCTTGATCACTGATGACAGGGTTTTTCTCTGAGCTCCTGGAGTTCACCTTCAGGTCCTTGTCATATGGCCCTCTCACAACATAAGCAGCTTACTTTTTCAAAGCTAGCACAATAATATATCTCATAGCAGATGGATTCAGAAAAAGGAGAACAAAGGAAGCAAAATAACAGAAAAAAACAGTAGACAATAAGTTGAAACATGGTAGTCATAATGCAACCATTTTATTAATTACATTAAATATAAATGGACCAAATACTCAAAAGTAGAGATTGTCTAATAGAAAAAAAGAAAATCCCAACCATATGTGGTCTACAAAAGAAATACTTAAAAACAAAGTCACAAATAGATTCAAAGTAAAAGGATGGGGCAAACAATATATCATGCAAACAATCTGCATCTATATATATAAGAGCCTAAACAACCTTTACGACCAGTCAACCAAACGACTGATTGCTTTGATGCGCACTGACCATCAGGGGGCAGACGCTCAATGCAGGAGCTGCCCCCTGGTGGGCAGTGCGCTCCCACAGCCAACCTCCCGTGGCTGGCCAACTTCCTGTGGTCCCTCCCTGATCAGGGTCCCTCCCCCTGGCCAGCCAACCCTGATCGGGCGATTGGCCCTGATTGTCAGCCAGGCTGAGGGACCCCATCCATGCACAAATTCATGCACTGGGCCTCTGGTAAGAAATAATATCAGAAAAAATAGACTTCAAAACATGGAACATTACTGGAAACAAAGATTTCATAATAATGAAAACGTCAGTATATCAGGAAGCCATTATAAATAAAATGATGTATGCACTTAATATCAGAGCTTCAAACCATATGAAACAAAAAATGAAAGAGAAATCATAGTTGGAGATTTTATAAGTAGTCTCTCAGTACTTGAAATAAATAATCACACACAAAAAAATAAAATCAGAAGGGTTATAGAAATCTGAACAACAATTTCAGTCACATTGACATAAAACAAAATTCCCAACAACTGGAAGAATATACGATATTTTCAAATGTACATGGCATATTTACCAAAATAGACCAGATGACAAGCCATAAGACAAGTCTCAATAAATAAATTTCAAAAGATTTGGATCTTTACACAGTGTATTCTGTGACCACAACAAACTTAAAAACAAATATTAATAAAATATCTAGATTAGCCTCTAAATATTGGAAATTAATGTATTTTTAAACATTCCATTGATTTAGGAGTAAATCACAAGGGAACGTACATATTATATATTTTTAAGTAAAGGATAATGCATATACAACAGCAGGACTTACAGGAAAATTTAAATGTTAGAAGGAAGAAAGGTTTAATACTGATTAAGTGTCTACCTGAAGAATCTATAAAAAGAAGAGTACATTTTTCCTAAGTAAAAGAAAGGAAATACTAAATATAGCAGCAATCGATAAAACAGAAAGATACAAAGGAAATGCAAAACAGTGGAAAGTTAGTCCTTGGAAAAGTTTAATAATATTGATAAACTCTTAGCAAGATGTGTGTGTGTGGGGGGGGGGGGGAGGGAGAGAAAGAGGTTGCCAATATAATTAACGATGAATAAAAGAGTATATCCATAGATCCTAGCCATAAAAAGGAAAATTATTAACATTTTTATGTCATTAAATTTGACAACCAAAATGAAGCGAACAATTCCTGAAAATATATTTTACCAGACATGACAGAAAAAGAAATAGAAATTTGTGATAACCCACTATCAAAATCAAATTCATATATCAAAAACTTCACCAGAAAGAAAAGTTTGGGCCCAAAGAGTTTCACTGGTTATTCAAATATTTAAGAAATAATACTAATAGCCTTGGCCGGTGGTGTTCAGTGGTTAGAGTGACAGCCTGCACACGGAAGGGTCACAAGTTTGATTCCCAGTCTAGAGTTTTGTACCTGGGTTGCAGGTTCAATCCCCTGTCCTGGTCAGGGCTCGTGCTGAAAGCAACCAGTCAGTGTCTCTCTTTTACATCAATGTTTGTCTCTCCCCCGCCCCCTCCCTTCCACTCTCTAAAAATCAATAGGGAAAAATATCCTCTGGTGAGGATTAACTAAAAATAAATAAATAAATAAATGACACTAATATTATACCAACTCAAAAAAAAAAAAAAAAAGGAAAGAACACTTCCCAGCTGATTTTTGAGGCCAGAAAAGTTCTCATATAAAACTTCACAAAGATAGTACAGAACAAAATTTACAGATCAATATCATCTACAAACTTAGACATAAAAATCCTTAATGAAATATTAGCAAATTGAATCAATCAATGTAAACAGGATGATACATCATGAGAAAGTAAGGTGTATACCAGTAATGCAAGATGGATATTTCATATAAAAACTAGTATAATCCCATATTAAAATAAAAAAAAGCATATTTGACAAAAGTCAACACCCCTTTATAATAAATGTCTGGGCTAACTAGGAATAGGGATTAAACTTCCTCAATCTGATAAAATATATTTACAATAAACCTACTGCCAATATCATTTTTAATGGGGAAGCAATGAATATTTTCCCTGTAAGATCAGAAATAAGGCAAGGATATCTGCTCTCACAACTTCTATTCAGCATTGTGCTGGAGATCATAGCCAGTTTAATAAGATAAATGACAGCTATAAAGGAATAAATAAAACTTCTGATTTGCAGATATGATTATTTAAATTAAAAAACACTAAGGAATCAAACAACAAACAAACCTATTGAAAATAATAAGTGGGTTAAGTAGTCGCTCAGGATATAAGGTCAATATACAGAGAAATTAATTGTAAGACTTTATATTACCAATGAATAATTGGTAAAATTTTAAAAATCTAAATGCCATTTATAACAACATAAAACCTGAAAACTACGAATGTTTGCTGAGAGAAGACCCAAATAAATGGAGCAATACACCACATTCATGAATTAGAAAACCTAATATCCTAGGTATTTGTTGTCCTAAAATCCAGTTGACCTACAAATTCCACTCAAGAGCAATAAAAAATCCCCTTCCTCCTGACAGAAGATAAAGCTCATGTGTGCAGCTATTTCTTCAAGATTGAAATTACATTCAGGGTAAAAAAATAACCGAGTTCTGGGCTTACCACTTTGGATTCTCACTTTCTTCTAGATTTTGGCTACACAGTTCCTCCCTTATTGTAAATTCTTACATCATTTAAGATATTTTCTTGGTTTTGTATATTATCCAGTTTTTAATTTGTCTTTGGTAAGAGTCAAATTCCCAGATCCATTGCTAGAAGACCTCTCCACCTTCTATTTTTTCTATTAGCTAGATAAAAATTATTTTTTGAGTACTTACTATGTGACAACACTGTATCTAGTGGCAAGCAAGACAAAGTCTCTGACCATAAGAACCTCCTATTCTAATAGAGGAGTGTTCATTATTTCTCTCTTTTTCTTGTGTTCATTTTTTAAGGCAATGGTTGTGAAGTGCATGAACTTGAAGAGAATGTTAATTTCTGTCTTCTGAGGGCTTCCCTGGGGGGTTGGAACCTCACACAATAGACTCTTCGATTCCAGCAGCATGCTGAATTGCATGACCATGATAAAGTTTGCACAAAGTCTGGGATAGGGAGAACTAGAGGGAAAGAACCTGAGATGGTAAGTGAGGGACTAACATTTTAAATATAACGAGGATTTCACTACATGACCAACAGAGATTGGAGAGGTGACATTTGAAAACTCCGTGTGTTTCTCTTTTCTATCCCACAGATACTGGAAGTATAAGATACAAAGGGAGAAAAAGTGAGAAAGGAGACGATAACTCTGCAGCCAAGCCATCTCCTTCCCAAGCTGGGAAAAGCCCAGAGCCTCCAGCAGCCCCTCCCCAGGTTTAACCAGGATAAAAGGCATTGAACCATAGTCAGTCCAGGAAGCCACCGAGCCTGCTACAGATGACCTTAGACAACCAGTGCCCACTGAGAAGGCCTTTGAATCCACCCCAGCACTCACCTAGAAGGCCAACAGAGGCCACCCTCCAAACTGCAGTGCCAGAGGCAAAGGGCCCAGCAGTTTCCTCCATAGACACCCCTCACCCTAAAACAACCCAAAAAGACTCCCACTGTTGAATACTCCCAAGAATCCTGTTCTATGATGTTTTCCACCACATCCAACATGTCCTTCTCCTTTGGGCTCTCTTCAAAGAATGAGCCACATCTTGCCCCCTTCTGATTCTTCCTCTCTGTGCCTGAGGGTGGTGACGGTGGGGAGTGGTCAAGAAGGGAGTGCAGAAGAGCATTGGAAGCTCGATGGAGCACGTCTAGTCTAGCCTTTCTATAAAGGCTGCAGCTCCAGGGTGTAGGCAAGAGGGAAAACAGCTGCTGTGGTCTTGGAGCTGGAGCGCATTCTTCCCTGGATGATACGGGTTTTTCTCATCCGAACCCTTCATGGCAGCCCTGCTAATGGGCGGCGGCGGTGAACTTCCGCATGTAAATAAAGGCAACCTTTCAGGAAGACAGAAGGTAAGTGGAGTATGTATTCTTTGTACCCTTCTGTGATGACTCAGGCTGGCAAAGACTAGGGGATAAGTGCAAAAGGGATGCCATCCTGGGTCAGAAAATGAGAGGTGGCCTGGGCATGTTAGGGGCAAAGATTTTATCCACAGGCTTCTTTGTGATCTAGTGTGAAGTGGGATGCTTCCTAATAGTTTGCTGTTGGCTGATTCCCCAATGGAAAGAGGGCATAATTTCATGCGTATTCCTTGAAGGGAAACTACAACTTAGAACAAGCAGCTGGAGCCCCTTCTGTGTGGGATCCCAATAGTAGAAGCAGTGAATTGAGTTCCACTAGGTGACCTTCACCTATTCACACTTACCTGAGCCTCAGTATCCCCATCTATACGATGATGGTGTAGGGGCAGACCACTGTAGCACCTTCCCCCAGGCCCAGGCTTATCCTGGACTGACTGTGGAGGCAGGTAACCACTCGGGGGGGGGGGGGGGTGGCGGCAGACAGTCTAGGACAGCAACATGACCATCCCAGAAGGCTGGGCTATGGTTTGGGGCCTGCGTTTTCACAACCATCCCTCCCTCTCCCACAGGCAGCTGCAGAGAACAGGAATAGTACTCCCTGTGGGTCGGTTGGGCACCTAGACGCTAAACACCTGGGTGTGTGAGGGCAAGCAGGACTTGGCTCTGCTGAAGTATCAGGGGGACCCTGAGGCAGATCACAGACACACCCACTTCAAGGGGATTCTCCCCTGTCACCTCACTAGGCACTCATCCCGGCCACAGCCCCAAATCACACCTTCCCTCTCTGAAGCCCCCAGCTCCAGACCTGCCCAGGTCATGGCCAAACTTGGTTGTTCCATCCTGGTGTCAAAGTAGCATTTTATAGGCACCCACTGGATGTAGGGATTTAACCCAAAGAGACATTGTTCGTGGCGTTCTCAATGATTTCTTGATGAACCAAGGAGATGTTTCTGGCAGGATTCCGGGGCCACTCTGGCTCCACTGGCCCTGGTGAAGGCTCAGAAGCCAGTCCCTCCTTGACCTCCTGCCCACGCACACTTAGGTCCTCACCTCCCAGGCCAAAGCCCAGCATTTCTCTGCTATCTGCCCTTGTCTCAGCCAGTCTTTTAAGTCTCTTTCAAGCACACCTTGGGCTCAGACACCCCTCCCCCCAGGCCCAGACCAGCTTGGCCCTGTACACAGACCAAGGAGAGAGTTACACAGCCAACAGGGCCCTGTCCCCACAGACTCTTTCCCTCCTCCTCCCATTAGAGACACTCCCAGGCCAGAAGGTGAAACACATGCTTTATGACCTGAGGTGGTCAGGAAAGGGGCTCAGCACTCACACTGCGATAGAGAGAGGGGTCCGTCTCCTCCACCCCAGCTGAGAGTCCTGGACTTACAGGAATTCAACTAGTCCAGTCCTTAGGTGTCAGAATACTCTTGATTCGGTTGGTTTGGTCTGGTTGCTCCCAGGATGGAGAATTAGGGTGTCCTCTTGATTCCCGGTCCCAGTGCGCACAGAAAGCCAAAGGAGGTCGCATGGCCGGGCTGGTCTGGGATGAGAGAAGCATGCACGGAGCACAGGCTCTTACAACCGGGAAGGCCACAGCCAGGACCGAATCCTACCCGCGGGCCTTAGGGGTGTTGGAAGGGTGCTCTGCACCCCAGCAAGGCCACCTCACTGGAAGGAGGACCAGAGTCCAAGCTGGTGCTGTCACTGGTGGCTGGCCGACCCAGCTTTCCTGCCCGATGGCAAAGGTCTTCACCCAGCTGCCACCTGAGGTGCAGGCACAGAGCCAGTGCCGCCTCCACACTGTTCACTTGCCACTCCGGGAGCCCCGCTGTTTGCTCATGGCCGTGAGCATCTGGCTGATATAGGAAGTCAGGAGGTCATCCATCTTGTAGCCCTGGAGACAGTGGCAAGATGATAAACAGTGCAAAAAGGACAGGCCCAGCCCACGCAGACCCAGCTCCCAGAGAAGTGCAGTAGGCAGCACCCTGGACAAGGCAACTCTCATCCACTCTGGATTCGGTCCCCCCAGCTGCACAGTGGAGGGGCTGGATTCCTCCAGGATGTCTACGGTTCTAAGCTGTATGACCCCACATGAAGGCCTAGCTTGCGGGTCCCTCACATCCTGGAAGCCTACCCCCAAGAATGACTCTAAAGGCTACTAGTGAAGCTATGCCTTGGAAATTGAGTCCAGGAAGCCTCGTTGCTAACGGTTTTACTGTTGAACTCAGAGCTGAAGGCTCACTCCCCAGGTACTAAAGGCACTCAAACAATAGTTACTGCAGGTGGGGTCTGTTCCTCAGCCCCAGATTAAGCCTCTTCTCCCAGACCTAAAGCTGAGCCTCAAAATGACCTGACCGTGGCCCCAACCTGACTTGATCCTGGCCCCAGGCCAAGCCACACACTCCCCATGTTTGCTCCAGGGCCTGGAGAGCGGCTGAAGCTTTAGTGCGGCAGGGGCGCCCACCAGGCCTGGAAAGGAGCTCTCACCAGCGACGTCTCACAGAGCAGCTTGCTCCCGCGCACCAGGTTCCCAATGGTGATGTGGAAGTAGGTGTTGCCGCTGCTCCAGTTGGAGATCTTGGTGAAGGGGTGCGTGGTCAAGATGTCCTGCGGGAACAGAAGGTCTGAGGTTGCACAGCCTGGACTCTCTGGCCTCACTCCCTTCAGCTCCAGCCCACAGACACCACCATAGGAAGGGCCTGGGGCCCTGGAAAGACGAGCAGGAGGGTAGAGGCTAGCTCTGCCAGAGTGCTGCTGGGGAGGCAGAGGCCTTCCTGCTCCACGTATGGGTTGGAACCAGCAGGCAGGACACCCAAGGGAGTCAGGAGACTGCTGGGATGTGGGACTGGGAGTGGACATGTCGGAGGCCTAAAGGGACTGAAACTGTGGTCCTGGGTGAGAGAGTCCAGGGAAAGTCTAGGAAAGAGACAAGAAGACGACAGTGAGGAGGGGGGGCGCTGGGGGAGGGGGGCGGGCTAGAAGGGGTCAATGGGGGAAAAGGAGGACATATGTAATACTTTAAAAAGAAAGATGAAAAAGAAAAGACAGGACAGAACCTTGGGGAGCACAGTGTTATGGGATGGATAGAGAGGAAGCCCACAGTAGGGTCTGAGAGGAAAACCAGGCAAACACGGAGCCAAGAGGAAGGCAGGGGTCACTGGCGCCCGCAGTGCAGCTGTCTTCCTGTGCACGTGGTAGGTCTGTGCTTCCTGGTCCCCTGGATGGGACTGCTTGGCCCATAAATGTGAGCATTAGTCACCCCAGCACAGCCTGCCATGCTGCCCACGACAGGCAGAGAGCATGTAGGAAGGACAGAGTGGATGGTAGCATCCAATGATGCTGACAGGCAAGTACTAAGGAGTTCCCTGGGTTTAGTAACAAGGCGTTAGTAACTAGCAGAGCCGTTTGGATGGAGCTGATGAGGGTCAGGAAGTAGACGGAACAAGCACAGCCTCTCAAGATGTGTGGCCACGAGGGCAGGTGACGTGAGGGTGGAGGCTGGCAGGGGCTTTATTAGGGGTGCAGACAGAGCAGCCTGCCCCTGCCTGCTCTGCCCTGTCTCTGCTCACCTTGGTCCTGGGATCAATGAGGCTGACCCCATACTTGTTGATGGCAATCAAGAGGATCTCCGGGAAGTTTGGCTCCGTAGTTTGCTAGTAAAGAAAGTAAAAAATCATCAGGTGGGGACCCAGAGCAGGAAAAGCTGTGTGCATCTGGGGCAGAATAAAGACGCTCCAGCTGGGATTAAGTTGACCTCTCCTGCCAACGCGGTGCCAGGGGGGCAGGGTGCTGGCAGCCCTGCCATGCCACCTTGACAAGAGCACCCACAGATTATCCTCTGAGAGTCTGGCCTGTTTACACATCTGCTTCCCTCCAGGCTGAGGTCTTGTCCCTCTGTGTCCAGCACCGAGCCCAGGGCTCAGCACTTAGCGAGACACCCGGTTGAGACAGGTCCTGAGCTCTCCTCTCCAGGCCAGGGCAGGCGCAGAGGCCGCCGCTGCTCCCCACGGTCCTGGGGAGGAGTCCCTGTCTTCTCGGCCCCCTCCCCCCCACCTCCCTCCTCTCTGAGAAGCCGCCCACAGCGTACCTTCACCTCGAAGAAGGCTGAGCCAAAGGTGGGCCACTTGAAGATGACCTTCAGGAAGGCCAGCTTGGCCTCCTCCTTGGACTTCCCCGCGTGCTTGTTGAAGTAGGCGACGATGGACTGCAGGGGGAGGCTGGGTCAGTCCTCTCCCCTGCCCCTCCCCCATCTGCTCTGTCAGCAGCTGTCATGGGTCTTGGAGGGCCAGGCAAAGGATGGGGTCCTGGAGCCATGAGGAGCTGCCTCCTTATCCCAGTTAGTGGATTGCTGCCCTCCCTCCCCTCCCCCAAGCAAGCAGGCCAAAGAGTAGCAATCAAGTAAAGCCAGGACACCACAGACATCATGGTAACCACGGTAACCAGGACGGAACATTATTGCAAAGTGGCCTTTGCCTGACTCCTTTGCCTGAAAGACTGGAGACTAAAGCAAGTGGAGAGGGAGTGGGAAGGTGACCCTATGACACGCGGGGCCACAGGAGACGCTTCCCTGGGCTGTTGGCTGCTCCTTGGCCCCTGGGGTGCCCGGAAACCCATTGTGGGGGACCTTATTCCCACCGCCTCCCTCATGCTCACCCGCTTCCAGTCGTCAGGTGAGACCTGCCGGATGAGGTCCTGGGGCACCAGCTCCCGCAGCAGCTTTGGGATACTGGGGAAGTAGGACTTGTCTTCTTCGAACTTGACCCTGTAGATCAGCGCCCCCAGCTGCAGCACCTCTTCCCGCGTGCACTTGTGGTAGCCTCGGAGATACTTGGGCAACTCCTGCCAGAGACAGAAAAGGTCACAGGGAAGCAGGGACGTCTTCCCTACCACCCTGAAGCTGGGTCCACCTGCTTCTCCAGCCTCCTTAAGGGGAAATGGCACAGGGCAGGACAACAGCAATTGTGCCTGCACAGGTTCAGCATGTTGCAGTTCAAAACAGAGTTGCGTGGGAATAGTATGTCATTTCCCCCTCATAACAGTCCAGTGGGGTGAGCAGTCCCATTTCAAAAACGCAGAAACTCAAGAGTGACCAACTGGTGAACCTGAGACAATTCACCAGCCCGCCCAGGCCTGTCCTTCTGTGGGAAAAGCCTCTCAGCCAGCCTCCTTCCACTGATCCCTTGAGACTGGCTGGTTTCAGCAGCAGCACCAGCCCATTCCGCACCTTAAACTTCCAGACCCAGAGCCAGAGTAACTGAGGATGAAGGGTAACTCAAAAACAAAGATGAATCCTCTAGAGCAGGGGTCCTCAAACTTTTTAAATGGGGGGCGAGTTCACTGTCCCTCAGACCGTTGGAGAGCCGGACTATAGTTTAAAAAAAAACTAGTCGGCTGCTAAGCAACAGGCAGCGGCGGCAAAAACACCCAGCGGGCCGGATAAATGTTTTCGGCGGGCCGCATGTGGCCTGTGGGCCGTAGTTTGAGGGCCAGCACCACCCACAGGCTCCTGGAGCCTTGAAGCTCTCTTGTGTAAAGCGTAGGGAAACGGAGGCTAGCCTGAGGACACAGGGCAAATCAGAAACCCAAGTCAATGGTGACCCACCTACCTTTTCACGTACTCACTCATATACTCATCCACGCTACCACTTATCTGCTCATCTATACCCACTCATCCATCCATCTACCCAGCCATATGGGTCTACCCACACATCTGTTTCCATCCATTTCCCTATTTTTTCATCCATCCACCTACCAACCCTCCTACCCACTTACCCATTCACCCATCCATTCACCGATATCCAATTCAAAAATTCATTTACCATCCATCCTTCCCCCATCCATTCACAGAGTCACCTACTCACCCACCCATCAAGCCAACATCTACTTATTGAGCATCAACTATGAGCTGAGCCCTATAAGCAACAACATATATCCTCCTTACTCTCGTTGAACTTATAGGCAAAGCAAGAACAGACATTATCACATCAAACCAATGTACAATCCCAATCTTTGAAGGAAATATTCCCAGTGCTATGAGAACACAGAACAAAGTGACTTGATAGAGTCTCAGGGACAGTGAAGACTTCCCTTAAGATGATTCATAGAAAACAGCATGGAGATTCCGCAAAAAATTAAAAATAGAACTGCCTTCTGACCCAGCAATTTTACTTCTGGGTCTAGTATATCCAAAGAAACCCAAAACACTAATTTGAAAGAATATATGCACCCCTATGTTCATTGCAGTGTTATTTACAATAAGCAAGCTATGAAAGCAACCCACATGCCCATCAGTAGACGATTGGATAAAAAAGCTGTAGTACATATACACAATGGAATATTTCCCCCCAAAACCCCACACATTTGCAACAGCATGGATGAGGGTATTATCCTAAGTGAAATAAGGCAGTCAGAGAAAGACAAATAACATATGATTTCACTTACATGTGGAATCTAAAGAACAAAATAAACCAATAGAAACAGACTCCCAAATACAAGGAACAGACTGGTGGTTGCCAGAGGGGTGGGAGATTAGAGGACTGGGTGAAAAAGGTGAAGGGACTGAGAGGCACAGATTGGCGGTTACAAAATAGTCATGGGGATCTAAAGCACAGCATAGGAAGTTACTAACACTGTAATAACTAGGCATGCTGCCAGGTGGCTACTGAAAATGCTGGACGGGAGGGACACTTTGTAAAGTATGTGACTAGCCACTATGCTGTACACCTGGAGCTAATACAAAATACTACTGAATGTAAAGTGTAATTGAGAAAATGACACATCCGATGATGGAATCCACATCCAAAAGCTCAGCAGGTAAAGAGGAAGAGACCGGAGAGAGGAGCATCCCAGAGGAGAGAGCAGGACAAATCTCTCCCCAGGGCTGTGCCGGTACAGCCCCGCCCGGCAAGGACACAGGTCTCCGCTTCCACAGGCGCACAGGCCGCACGCCGCACGCGGAGGCCACAGCCGCAGAGCGGCGCTGGCGGCTCACCTGGTAGTAGTGGAAGATGGAATCCGCCATGGGGTCCTTCCCTGGCACCGTGGTGGTCCACAGCTTCTTCATGAAGAACACCTGGTAGGTGAGCGAGGGCACGATTCCTGCGGCAGAGGGCAGCCCGGTGTCACCCAAAGGTCCCAGGACAAGATGTGCCCATGCCCAGCACCAGCCCCCGAGGAGACCCTCTGGGTATGACATTGAGCCAGCCCCCACCCTGCTCCGGGCCTCGGATGCACCCAGGACCCAGCCTCACGTTACCATCCTTGACGGGCCGTGCTTTCTTTATCCAGTCTGTCAGGTGTCGGACAAAGTCAAAGAAGAAGTCATTCTCAGGCACGCTGATGACCTAAGGACATGGCCATTCTAGTCCTCTCACTTTAGCTGGAGCAATACTGTCTTCTGACTTCCCCACCCCAGGACCTGGTGGCCCCTTCTCCACAGACTCCCTCTGGCAGCCAGAAGGGGTGTCCGTGTACCAGCCCCACCCTGCCCGACCGTGCCTGCTGAGTGTCTCCAGAACACAGCCTGCACAGAGGGACAGTCACTCCATTCTGTCATTCAGCAAAGATCTGCTGAACGCTGCTCTGGGCCCCGGGAAAAGGCTGAGAACGAGGCCCAGTCCCTGCCTTGCACATTCTGCGGCATCCACGTCCTGCTCCTCCTGCAGGCTCTAAGCCAGCTGTTCTCAACCTGTGGGTTTCGACCCCTTTGGGGGTCGAACGACCCTTTCACAGGGGTCGCCTAAGACCATCGGAAAACACATATATAATTACATATTGTTTTTGTGATTAATCACTATGCTTTAATTATGTTCAATTTGTAACAATGAAAATACATCCTGCATATCAGGTATTTACATTACGATTCATAACAGTAGCAACATTACAGTTATGAAATAGCAACGAAAATAATTTTGTGGTTGGGGGTCACCACAACATGAGGAACTGTATTAAAGGGTCGCGGCATTAGGAAGGTTGAGAACCACTGCTCTAAGCGATCCTGGGTCCAGGACCTCACTGAGACCCCTCTGAGCCCCGTGTCAGGCACAGGGACAGTCATGAAGTGAGGAGACAGACATGGATGCACCGGGAGCTGGAGCGAATGGGAGGGCGCACTTATCTGCCCGAGCTGGTCAGGGAAGCCTTCCCAGGGGAAGGGGCCTGACCCTGGGCCTTCGGCCCCGTGCGCAGAGAAGCGGGGAGCAATGTGGGACCTGCGCTGTGGAGGCAGACCCACCTAGATCTAGCCCCTTCTGTGTGACCTTAGATAGGTTCCCCTTTCTCAGCCCGGCTCTGTGACCTGTCAGGTGGGGATGATGGCCCTCTCGTCAAGGGTCAGTTCAAGGATTAATGGCCTCAGCCGGCAGCTGAGGGAGATGTGTGCTGGGTGCAGGGAGGGGCCTGGTGTGAGGCTAGCTGTGCAGTGCCCGGAGGAGAGACTTTGGGGCAGCTGCTGCCTGTAAGGGGGCACCCGGGGATGCCACATACAGGAGCACCTCTCTCTTCCCCTCTTTCCCTCCCTCCCTCCTTTGTTCCCTCCCCCTGCTGCCCCATGAGTTGCTACGGCTTCAGCAAATGTCCCAACCAACAGACCAAGCGCAGGCAAGGCTCGCCACCCACCTTGTCTGCAATTTTGACAAAGAGACTGAAGCCCTCCGAGGACTTGAGGAGCAGCCGGGCGGCGATGTTCTGGCAGAAGTCCTTGGCCTTGGTGCTGGACTCCACCTCGAAGGCCTGGGGGAGGGGGCTCACTTGGCTCTGGCTGTGCCTCCAAGGAGACCGACCCCCTCCCATGCAAGACACCCCCCTCCGAGGGGGCTCCCGGGGTCCAGAGCTCGGCACAGCATTTATGAAAAGAACAAGGCTGCTAACTCCTGTCCGGGTTTCCCAGATCGTCCTCCCCTGAGCAGGACTCAGCCTGGGCCTCAGGGCCCTGGGCCTGCTGAGCAAGCCTGAGTGATGGTGGAGGAGCACAGAGGGCAGGGGCAGGGGGTGGGGCGACTGGAAGGAGAGAGACGGGAGGAGGAAGAGAGCAAATTTCAGAAAAAGGGGGGAGGAGAAAAGAGGGGAGACAGCCCAGAGGGGGCTGGGGGGGACCGCGGAGTCTGGGGAAGGAGGAGGAGTGTGATGAGAGAGGGGCCTCCATGTGACCTTCCGCTGGAGGGGACAGAAAAGGGTCTCAGAGAGTTTTGTCCTGTGTCTGGCATCGTGTTGTGGCATTTCTGAGTCTCTAGTCTCTAGGCAAGTTTTAAAACTGCTTTTCAGACAGAAAGTTTCAATGTTGGACGCATTTATCTGAACGAGACGCTGATGGGGTCAGGAGTGGACACCAGGAGGCAGCCTGGCCGAATGGGCGGGACAGGAAGACAAAAGGGACCTTTGGACAAGGGGACAGGGTGGTGGGGACCCCCAATCAGGCCAGGTGCGGGGAGGGAGGGAGGAAGGTCTGAGGAAAGTGGCCCAGGGAGGGGGCACCACACTGAGCTCAGCTCCAGGGAGAAGGCACTTTGTTCCAAGGCCAGGCCTCCCTGGGGGGGGGGGGGGGGGAGCGGGGACCTTCTCAAGGAAGCTGCTCACCGGAACCCAGAGGCTCCTGACCCAGGGGTCGGTGCCCACCTGACTGAGCTCTGACTCCACGAGGGGCAGGAGGAAGGGGCAAACGTGGGGATGGCGGAGGGGAGGACTCGGACTGCCCCCCGTTCCCCCAAGGGCACTCATGAAGGTGTTTCGGGCCGTCCCCGAACCAAGCAGCCGGTGGCCCTCACCTCGTCGGTGTCGTCGGGAAAGTAGACCTTGTGGAATATCTGGGTGGTTTTGTGCTGGATGGCCTCCACCTCCACCAGGTGTGGGGGGTACTTCCGGGACCCATTTCTAAAAGCCGGGGGTGAAGGGGACACAGTCAGGGGCCAGCTGGCGCATGACGCGAGGAACCGAGGGAGCTTTTGGAGACGGAACGCGCACTTCAATCCCCGTCCATCCGTCTTACCAGGTGACAGTCACGAAACCTCTCAGAGCCTCCAGTTGCCCATCTGTACAATGGGCTAGCAGTGCCCACCGCATAGGGCTAGGAGGGACCGAATGAAGGGAAGGGTGCAGGTGGGCTTTTCAGAGTATGAAGTGCGGTCAGGCGTCTGCCTCCCTGACAGACTTGAAGGCATGAGCCAAGCCCTTCTGAGCAACCAGACTCAACTGGGTTCGAACGGGCACTGGGTGCTGCAACCTTTGTTGATCTGACCGCTGTAGTGCCCCAGGGATAGTCCCAATTGCTGTGGTCATTTCCTCACCCCAAGGGGGCTCGCCCTACAAACCTGGTGTGGCCGGGAGCCCATCCCAATGCCTGCCCCCCAGCTCTGTGCCATTGCCTCTGCCCCTGGGGCTGCTGTACCTCAAGGCTTTCTGGAGCCGCTGCAGGCAGTCGATGGCGAGGGGGCAGTGCTTCCGGGACTGCAGGAAGCGCTGCACGTGGGGCAGGAGGATGTTGCTGGGGGGGAAGAGGCCCGTGCACAGCCAGAGCAGCTCCCAGCCCCGCTCCTCGCTGTACCTGCAGGAAGAGGGGTGGTGTCCAGCCGGGTACCACGGCCCCACCACGGAGTCTGAGCACCACCCGGGCTGCACACCCCTCAGCTCCTCACCACAGCAGCACACGCCTGGCCTGACCTCCACCCCTGTCAGAAGAGAACCAATGGACCCACCTCCCTGACAGCTCAATCCAATTAGTGCTACTCAAAGTGTAGTCAGCTGAACCATGAGGGGCCAGTGACAGCCACAGGGAGATAAGATGCTCATGCCAGAATGAAAATCAGCTGTGTCACCAAGTACTTTGGTTCAACTAAGATTTATTTTTTTCAGCAAGACTTTCCTATGAAGGAAGAAGTGTGTGATTTGTTCTGGCAGAAGCTCTCCTACTCTTTGAATAGCGCTAAGTTAGAACAGCCGCCGGGCTCCCTCAGACACCATTCTGAGCTCCTGTGTCTGACAGGGGGGAATCTTGGAGGGCTCCTAGGAGGAGGTGGCATTTGGTCTAGGCCAGTGGTCGGCAAACTCATTAGTCAACAGAGCCAAATATCAACAGTACAACGGTTGAAATTTCTTTTGAGAGCCAAATTTTTTAAACTTAAACTATATAGGTAGGTACATTGTTATTAACTTAATTAGGGTACTCCTAAGGCTTAGGAAGAGCCACACTCAAGGGGCCAAAGAGCCACATGTGGCTCGCGAGCCCCAGTTTCCCGACCACGGGTCTAGGCTTTGAAGGATGAGAAAAATTCTGAGATGCGAAGGAGATGAAAAGTTTTCCAGGCTGTGGTTATGGCACGTACAGAGGTTTGTCAGTGTGAAGAGATCTGATGTATGGCTCTTGAGAAAGAGTTGTAGAGAGTGACACCGCTGGGGAGGGAGTCGGGGGTCTGGGCATAAGGGGAGATGGTAGGGCTTCTCTCAGGCTCTGAGACTAACGTGCCCGACCGCCCATGCCTGCAGCTGTATGGCCCAGCAGGGGAAGAAGGTGATACCCTCTGGGACCCAGCACCTTTAGCCCATGAGCGTTTTAAGCCAGAGCTTCCAACTGACACCTAGCCCAGCCCGAACCAGAGATGGGACACTTGCTCATGAGCTGACCCTGCAGCTGACAGCAGAGTCTGGGCTGGGCAGGAGGATCCAGAGGAGGCTCAAGCAGGGAGTGGCAGGAGCTAGGCCAGTGGTTCTCAACCTTCCTAATGCCGCGACCCTTTAATACAGTTCCTCATGTTGTGGTGACCCCCAGTGTCATTGTTACAAATGGAACATAATTAAAGCATAGTGATTAATCACAAAAACAATATGTAGTTATATATGTGTTTTCCGATGGTCTTAGGCGACCCCCGTGAAAGGGTCGTTCGACCCCCAAAGGGGTCGCGACCCACAGGTTGAGAACCGCTGTGCTAGGAGGAGCTGGGCCTGTTAAACTTGGGGAAGGACAGGCTCAGAGGGCACAGCCGCACCTCTTGGTTCTTGACCCCCCTGAGGGGGAGGTAGGACATGAGCCTGAGGGTGGCGCCCCGCCCTGAGGGAGGGAGCTCCCCATCACAGTGGGTGCATGACCTTTAGGATGCCCTGCAGCTGGAGCACTAGGGATGGGCCTGCCCCTTTACCTGCCCACAGCCCCAGGCTCACCTGATGTGGTTGTCGGTCAGCTGCTTCAGGATCTGCACGTATACCTCGTCCTTGAGGGGCTCGGCCTTCAGGGCTCCCTCAAAGATCTGGTCGGTGAGCTCGTTGACGGAGCGCATCCTCTTGGATGGGTAGTCGCCCATGTACTTGAGCACGGCTGCGGGGGGCGGGGGGAGGGCGTCAAGGAAGGGCTTGTGGCCGCGGGGGCGGCCCTGGGCCCCAGACTACGCACTTAGGAAATGGGCATCGCTTTCCCACCCTGCTGTCCTTGTCCACCGCCCACCCTCCCTCCTCAACTCCTGCGGCCGCCTCCTTAGGCCCCCAGTCCTCTATCCGAAGTGCTCGCAGCACCAGGAGGCACGGTCCAACTCACTAATCTGTGCCAGCCCTGCCCAGGGGCCCCCATGGCCTCAGGACACAGTCCAGGCCTCTTCGCAGGACTGGAACCCTCCGTGAGCCAGCCCACATCTTGAGAGTCCCTTCTTGGACCTGCCCGCCAGCTGTGTCCTGGAACACCTGCTCTGTTCTGCCTCGGGGCCTTGGTGCAGGCTGCTCCCTGTGTCTGGAACACTCCCCACCTGTCTCCCCTTTGGCTAAGAAAGTCCTACTCAGTTTTCAGGTATCAGCCAAGAAACCACTTCCTCCAGGAAGCCCTCCCTGCCCTCCTCCAAGGCTGGGTCAGGTCACTGCACTGCCAACCCCATCACAGCACTGATCCCGGTCAGCATGTCTCCCCTGAGGCCCGGGACTGGGTCTGGTCACCACTGTGTCTCGATGCCTGGCCCAGCACATGGCAACAGTACTGTCAACTGAATAACAGGCAGAAGAGACGATCGTGCGGTGGCTCCTTGCACACTGTAAGGTGCCGGCACATGGATGGAGGTGCTCCATCAGCATCCCGCCACATCTGCCCAGTACCCAACTGAACCCCCGAGGGAAGCAGGTGTCTAGATGGAAACCCTGCCCTGCGGTCCCCTCCCTGCGCCCCACCCCGTCGGTGCGGATACCGATGAAGGCCATGCAGGCCTCCTGCGAGAGCTCCTCGCTGCCCAGGATCTTCTTGAGCAGTGCCTGCTTCAGCGGCTCCCGCGTGTGGCTCCACAGCCGGTCCTTCCCTCGGGCCTTGGACACCATCACACGGCTCAGGGTGTGCTTGGGTGGGGGCCTGGCAGGCACAGGGACAGTCAGCGCTAACAGGCACCAAGCTGTGAGACCCACCCCCATCCAGCCCCATCGCTGGAGGTCAGGGGTCAGGAACAGGCCCTGCTCTTCCCTGCGGCCCTGTGACCCGGGGCAGTGCCAGCCTCGCCTTCTCTGCTGGAAAATGAAGGTTCTGACATCTGTGCCCAGACAGCCCTGCCCCTCCCACCTCCTCTCTCCTCTCCTCTCTGCTCCGCCCTGGCACGGGCTCTTCCCGAGTCACCCCTACACAGCTCAGCGAGAGGCCACCTCCTCCAGGAAGCCTCGCCTCTGCCCCAGCAGCCCCGCCACCTGCTGGGTACACAGAGTCACAGCTCCTGCTTGTGTGCCCACCTCCCCACCAGGACTGCGAGTCATGAGTGCCCAGGATCCCGCCTGGGGTGGCACAGTCACCTTCTCTCAGATGAAGGAAGGATAAGATGACACATAGAAGGGTCATCTCGAGGACAAAAACGGTCCCCTGCTCCCTCTGACCCAGACCCTGCTCAGAGGTGAGGTTGCTTTGTGATGCCCCCACCAGAGCCTCAGAAGCCTGCTGTTTGCCAGGCCCCTCTCCAGGTCCCTGCCCGGCCCCTCTCCCCCTTCTCCTGCCCGGTCACCTGAAGTAGTCATAGGAGAACTCCTCTAGGGTGTAGGGCTTGGCGCGCACCTCAGGCTCCGGCGCTCGCAGCTGCAAGAGCCGGATCACATCCTGCCGCTGGTCAGGGGTCATGGTGACCAGGGCCTAGAGACCAAGAGGTGGGGCTGAGGTCAGCTCTCCACCTGGGGCCCTGGGATCCACTCGACAAAACCCAGAGCCCTCACAGGGGGGGAGGGGGACAGGGAGACTGTTACTCAGGGACTCAGGGGGCCCTGTGCCCATTCTCAGCCTGGCAGCCCCTCTGCTCCTTGCATCTCTGAAGCTGCTACTGCCTCCAGGCTGCTGGGCTCAGGACCCTTCCCTCGGTGCCCTGGGTCTGAACCCAGTCGGGTCAGTCAGAAAGGCCGGACAGGGCGGGAGGGAACAGTGAGAACTGCTCAGGGAGCTGCTTGGAGAAGCTGAGCTCTGAGTTCTCAGTGCTGCGCGCAAGTGGAGTCCAAAGAAGCAGGGCCTCCCTCCCCAGCTCTGCCCCCACTGCCCTTCCGGTCAGAGCCAGGTGCCGTCCTGCCCCCTCTCCTCCCCCCTGCCCCTGGGCACTTCCTCACTGAGGCACTCTCAGGCCCCTCTCCAGGCGTGACAGCTGCCCCAGCTTTAAGTCTGTGGTCCCAGAGGACCCCCAGCTCGTCTTCACGGAGCTGCAGGCCAGGTGTCTATTGTCATCCCTCCCTCAGACGTGGAAAGACGATAAGGAGGGGTTCAGGGGCGCCGTCCACATACCACGATCTCCCGCAGCGGCATGGTGACCGTGGGCATGACATACACGCAGTCGGTGGGGAAGTCCCCACGCTGCTTGGTCCGCTCGTTGATGCCGTTGGCCCAGCCGGAGTTCATGACCTGCTCTCCCGTGTCGTGGTCCAGGATGATGAGGTCTCCCTTCGCGAAGCTGAGGAAGCCCGACTCCTCGCCCGCTGGGAGGCCGTGGTGAGAGGGGCCGCATGGGGGCAGAGGGAGACTCTGGGTTAAAACATCTTTCTTTCTCCTCACACGGACAACCTGAGACCCTGTCATGTCTGCTCACTAGCCACCCCGCCTCCACCTTGCCATTGCCCTCCACGCAGACATGGCCATCAGAGTGGCCAGTCTCCTGCTCCAACGCCTTCTGTGGCTCCCCAATGCCCTTAGCAGAAAGCCCACACTCCCTGACATGCTCGTAAGGCCTGTCGGGGGCTGCCTTCCTGACATCTTCCACCTCCAGGCCCCTTCCTCTCCCTCCCCCATTCCAGCCAAACCAAACTCTGCAGATCCCAGACATGTACCTTCTCCACCCCTGTGCTTGGCCTGTGATCTGCTCTCTGCCTCAAACATTCACACCCGTGTTTGTCCCCATACCCCAGGCTGCCTGGGGCCGCTCTTCTGGGGTCCCACAGCCACTGGCTTCCCTGGTCACTGCACTGTCTGCCCTGCTCCTGCCCCTGCCCCTGCCCCTGCCCCCATTGAGGGCGGGGTCAGGGCCCACTGCCCCTCTGTCTTTCCACTGCTCTGCCCAGGGCCTAGGAGGCTCAGGATGCTCAGTGAGGTGCTACTTCTGTCATCATCTGAAGATGGGGGTATTTGGAGACACCGAGGAGGAACCCCTACTCCCCTGGAGGAGGTGCCAGGGGTAAGTATTCAAGACCAGGAAGGGAGGGAGAGAGGGAGAGAGTCCCCACAGAGCGCAGACAGGAGGCAGAGTTCGGCTCTTTGTTCAGTCGGAGCCAAGAGTATCTGGGGAAGGAGGGGTAACAGGCCAGGCCAAGGCCAAGGCCAAGGGGGGTGACCTGCTTGATGCCCCTGACCCCGGTGCCTGGCAGCCCATGCCAGGAGCCACTCACCAGGGTTGGGGTTGTCCTGTAGGGCCACCACGTACTTAGACCTCTTCCGGAGCCCCTCCAGAAAGGTGACCACGAGGTCACGGATGTCCTCGGCGTTGCTGGAGGTGAAGGTATACTCATCCCCCTTGATGGTGGCCAGCGTGAAGCTGGGGGCTGTGAGTTTGGCTCCCCTGCAGGACCAACACGGAGAACAGGGCCCCGCCGGGGTCAGTCCTGCCCAGCCCGGGTGACACGAAGCGCAGCCCAGTTCAGAGCAGCCCAGCGAGAGCAAGACGCGGCACTCCCTGAAGAGACCAAGGCCAGCGCAGTCAGGCTTGGCCCGGCCAGGGAGAGGCTGGCCTAGCCAGGGTGAGGCGCCGCCCAGGTCTCACACGGCTCAGCCTGCGTCAGACGTGGCCGGCCTGCAGCAGCCCAGCCCATGTCCCTTTTGTTGTCTAATTCCTACTCAGCCTTTAGTCTCAGCCCAGATACCCCTTCCTCCAGGAAGCCTTCCTTGCCCTCCCACAGCCCTCATGACCCTCATCCTGCTTTACCATGACCTGCTCAATATCCATCTCCCCTCTCGCCTGAAGCTTCAAAGGGGGAGGACTATCCAGTCACCACTGCATCCTGTGTGCCTGGCACATGCCTGCTCAGAGCTGGCCAGGCCCAACCCTGCCCACAGCGACACAGCCCAGAGAACGCCAGTCTATTCCAGGAGCCCATCTGTCTGTCTGTGTGTCCCTCTGCCCCTCCTCAGTTCGGACAGAGCTGAATCAGGACCCTGTCGGGTCTTTGCGCAGCTTCGACAACTCCCTGCTCTGCAGGAAGCGGGGTGCGGGGTGGGACTGACCTGCTGCTGGACACGGCCATGATCTCGGGGAAGGACAGCTCCAGGAGCACCTGCTCCTGCTCATCCACGAAGTAGACACCCGTCCAGTTGACGGCCACGATGACGTCGTTTTTGGGGAGGCTGGGGCCTGGGGCAGAGACCGAGGCTCTGAGAGGGAGGCCTCCCCTCTCCTGGGCCCAGCCCTGCCCAATCCTCCCAACCACCAGGGCAGAGGGTATATTGCCTTCCATTTTACAGAAATGGGAACTGAGCCCCAGACCATGGCCTCCCACGGCCAAAGCCCCGCGTGCGGTGGGGGAGGTGCTGGGACCAGGGCCCTGGGTGTGAGTAGTGCCACGGGTCTTCGTGCAGCTGCGGACAAGTCCCGCCCTGCGGTGAGGCGGGGTGCGGGTGGGGCTTGGACTCACCGAGCCCCAAGGCTCCCTCCAGCCTGACAACTGGTGGTTCTGTGAAGCCCGAGGCCTGGCATGGAGCAGGTGCCCCCAGATGACACCCCCAGGACGGCTGAGCTAATGGAAGTGAGCAGGTGGCCACATCCACTCTCAGCTTCATGGAGTCAGCCAGCCCCTGCTCTGGGCCACCCTCTCCTGTAGGTGCTCTAATGATCTCCATGCCCATCCAGTTGTTCAACCCACTGTGCCGCTGAGCACCTACTGTGTGCCACAGAGCCCAACTGGACTGTGGGAGGTGGGACCCACTCAGCGCACTGGCCTGGAGAGACCCGCAGCCCCGCAGGCAGGAGCCTGGCTGACTGGGGCACCTGTTTCCGGCCTCGCCCTATTGTGGCCGCAGTGAGGGTGGAAGAGGGCATGGAGGCAGGAGGGCTGCGGGTACCTGAGAATTTGTAGGCTTCGTAAAACCTGGAGAAGAGCAAGGGCCACTTGAAGCGGGCGTAATTGACCACGTCCTCCTTGACCTTCTGGGAATCAGTTCTCCTCTGGGCATAAATCCCCTGGAGGGGGACAGACCAGGACAGGGGACAAAGGGACAGACCAGGACAGGGGACAAAAGACGTCACGTGTGCTCTGCCCGGAACTCACATGTCCCTGTCCCCAGGCCAGGAGTGGCCCAGGGCTGCGGTGCCCTCCTGTGCATCATGGCCTCACCCATCCCATCAGCCCCAGCCACCCGTCACCTGCCCTCCCCTGACTCCATCGATGTTACACTTGCTAGGGAAGCGAGGGTCCCGCCTGCGGGGAGCTCCCAATGCACTCGAGTGACAGAAAAGCCCCCGGCTGCAGCCAGGGCAGGTGCAGGGAATGGACGGGCCAGCAGCCGATGGGGGTGAGGGGTGATGGAGAGGAGGTGGCCAAGGAGAGAGACAGAGGGATGGAGGGAGAACAGTGTCTTTCCTGGAGGGGAGGGAGGGCGTCAGTGCTGAGCCCAGCCTAGATGTGGAGGGGGTGCAGGGGGCATCAGGGGGAGGCTGGGTGGAAAGTGGCGAGGGCCTGAGAGACCGTTGGTCTGTGAAGCCCTCTGGCAACTGTGTGCAAAGGTAATTCTGCTCTTATACAACCAGGGCCTGGAGGTGGGGAGGCCTGGGGTCCCCTCCAGCAGCCAGGGTTCCCCACCCGCTCCCCAGCAGGCCACCCCGCTCTACTTGGGCAGCCCCTTCGCCTGACAGGGAGCTACTCAGGGCTGGTTATGGGCCTGGGGCTAGGGGGCCTGTCCCTAAAGCTCCCCAGGCAGGAAGGTGGGCCAGGGCTCCCGCAGGCAGGACGGAGGGTGCCCTTCCTGGGAGCTCCCCAACACGCACCAGCGCCCCTGAGCTGCAGCTCTAGAGAGCACCTGTGTAAGGCCAGGACGGGACCCCCACCAGCCCTGCACCCGGCTTTCCTCATGGGCCACAGGGCTGGATGTGAGCCATCTCTGTATCCCTGGAACCCAGGCCAGAGCGGATGACAGAGACAGACGAGAACCGATGTGCACAGTGGAGGAAGGCAGGTGGCTGGGAAGCAGGAGGCCAAGGGTGCCAGCCTGTCCCCTGCAGCCTGTGGGCGGACGTGTCAGGTGAGAGCTGTGATGTCTTTGATCCCCCAGGTGCTACTTCCTGGCCTCGACCACCAGAGAGCCCCCCTCTTCCCAGAGCCTCCCCAGCCCCCCTACCTTCTTGTGAGCAGCAATGGCCAGCTGGGCCCACTTCTCGAGCGTCTTCAGGGGCGTGATCTCGCGGTCAGGGATGTAGGTGGGCACGAGGTTTAGGAGGCGCTCCAGAATCATCTCGGAGCCGTAGTCCACAAAGTACTGCTGGGAGGCCAGCTCGGCCAGGTCGTCCTCCTGAGGTGGGGTTGGGGTGTGTGCGGAGACCTCATTCACACACCCTCCGGGAAGCCCTTGCCCATGACCGAAGCCCGGGGCCCTGCCTCCTGGGCCCTCAGCCCCTGGCCTTTGCACCCTGAGCTCTCACCGATTCACCAGGAGAGCTTGTCTGGTTGGTGGAACCATGAGTTCTTGAGGGCAGGGCCACATTCTTGCCTTCTCCTGGGTCCTCTCAGCACCAGAGGTACCGAGCTGACCCAGAGGGACCAGCCAGCCCATTGGTCATGGGTCAGCCACTACATCCTCAACCCAGTAAGATAACTGGGGCTGGCAAACACCAGAACAGGCAGGGACTGCCCTGGAGAGTGGGGGACCTGATACCGCTGGAGACAGCAAGTGAAGGGAGTGTGTCACCGTTACCAACTCCATCACCATCACCATCACACCCCCAGGACAGTCAGAGTATTGAACAACCCATAGGCTACAGTGCAGAGGCTCCAGAGAGCCAGCTGGGCACTGGGCAGTTGCCCCTTCTCTGCCCATGGTTGGTGCATGGCAGCACCCGTGATGCCTGCCTGGGGTTCCCCAGGCTCTGGCAGCAGGGGCAGCAAAGAAAGGCTCTTGGGAGCTTCAGAGGCAATGGATATTTCCCAACTAGTTCAAAGTATTTCAGGATTTTAGCGGTGGACACGGCTGTCCTGATACCTCCTTCCTGAACATCAACTCACCACCACCATCAGCAACACCATCATCATCGTCACTACCCTCACACCTACCCCTACACCATCACTACTTCTACCGTCGCCACCACCAACCGTCCCCTTCATTTCCACCATCTCCATCCTCCTCCCTCCATCATAATCACCAACGGAATCACAGGTACCATGAGAGCCGTCATCACCATCATCAAAAACAAAACAACCACACCGCTCCTGTCCACAGAAGGAGATAGAAGGTTCCACGTGTGCAAACTCTGTTCTCATGAGTGGATCTCTTGATCCTTCAGAGTGGAGCTTCCTAGACTAACTCAGCACAGCAAGCGTGAAGCAGCCACCACAGAGGTGCGGGAGCCTCCCACTGGCAGAGTCCGGGCTGTGCTTCAAAGCCCTGGCTGCTGTGGGCAGCGTTACCTCCGGGAGGAGCGAGGAGCATGCCCGCCCTCCGTCAGGCTAACCTCCGCATTAGCTAGTGGCGGATCCCAGACAGTAAACACTCAGCCCGAATTCGAATTCAGAAAACAGGCAGCCGCGAGCCAAGCAAGATCAGCCGGGAGACTCGGAAGATTCGCTCGCACTCACCTTCTCACACCTGTACTCCCCAAACTTGACGCCTCGTACCACCTGCTGGTAGATGAGATTGGTGGCCACGTTGTCTTCTGAGGGGTTGTGCCAGGGTGTGAAGACCTCTTTGCGGAAGAAGAGCCGCCATGGGGCATTGCGCTCCTGGGCACCCTGCTCCTTGGCATACTGCTCACACTGGGAGATGGCATCCATGACGTGGTCACTGCCGCTGCCCAGGGAGGACACCTGTAGGCAGAGGTCACCCAGTGGGAAGGTGAGCCAGCAGGAAGGACTACAAAGAGCCACCAACTGTGCCAACTGCTCTCGGGTGCCAAACCGAGGCTCAGAGAGAAGCAGGGAGGTGCCCAGGTCACTCTGGAGGCAGGCCAGCACAGGACCCCTGGGCCCCAGGCATGGGCTCTGAGCCAGCACAGCCACGGGAGCTCCCATTTCCTAGAGCAAGCCTTTTGGGAAACTCGGATGCACAAACGGCCCCTGAAAACACAAGAGTATCCATCTGTACAGCAGAAAAATCCAGATAAATTGTGTTGGACACGTGGTTCCGTCCCGGACCTGCAGGGTGGGGGCACCTCCGCTGGGTGTGATGTTGCTGGGTGTGGAGGTAAAATCAGCCATCCCCAGGCCCAGCGCCACAGAGAAGGCTCCTGCCTAGACGTGGCATTGGCCATTAAGAGTGAAAAGAAACGGCCACAGCAACCTGATGAGGAGTTATATCCGCATTTTAGGTGAGAAAATGAATCTCGGAGAGCCGCGTGGCTGCAGGACCCGGCAGCCTGTCTCCGGCACCGGGGGGCGGGGGGGTGGGGGACTGACGCGGCCTTGCTACATATGACTGAAGTGAGTTCTGGGTTTCAACACTGTTCTGTTGGACTTTTCTTTAGGGGCTTAAGAGGGCTCCGCAATCCTAAAGAATTGGCGGGAGCTAGTTACCACCAGCTAACAGAGAACCAGGGCCCTGGAAGTAAGTTACTGTGCAAGGTGGCCAGTAGGTGGCAGCACTGAGCCGGAAACCTGTGGGCAGCCCCGGGCGGAGCTGCTACAGGGCTGGCCATACCTTATCAAACAGGGCAATGTAGAGGGAGAACCCGAAGCGGTCCTTGAGGGAGATCTTGTCGGCCAGCGCGTTGCAGAGCTCCTTGGCCGTGGTGGCCGAGTCCGTCAGCAGGGTCTTGGTGGTCCCATCCATGAATGTCACAGGCAACATAATGGGCTTCTTGGACTTGGTGGCCTGAAAGTGACCAAGGAGCGTTGGTGGGGATCCTTTCACTTCAGACCACCTGGCCCCTCTGGGCTCCTGGCTCCCTGCTGCCTAGGAGGTTGGAGTTTCCCCCAAGGCCCCCAGACCCCAGCATCTCACCCAGTCATTGTATGTCCCGGGTCACAGGTCCCCAGGGAGCCCTGCTGTGCTCCCCAACTCGATGGCAACATTAGGGCCCCTGAGCCAGTCCCTGGGGCTGGGAGGTTAGGCACTGCCACACACCAGGGGCTTCTGCCCTCATGTCCCAAACCCTCACAGGACCCTGTGACACGAGTACCGTTGCAGCCAATGAAGCCACTGAGGCGCAGTGGGAAGCCCTGCCTGAATCACTTTGACCATGAAGCCAACGGATGGAGTCGCTCATCGGCTGGGGGTTCTGTTCCAATAGGCCTGGGCTTCCAGAACTTAAGGGTGAGGAGCCCAGAATCCCAAAGCGGGGACTTTTCTGGGCACCGGAGACACGTACACACACACACACACACACACACACACACACACACACACACACGTGCGCGCGCACACGCACACACTCACACACACGCACGTGCGCACGCCTGGTGGGGGGGTGCACCTGCAGCTCCAGCCAGCTGGGCGGCTGTGTCCGTGTCCCGTTGACGAAGGTCCTCCGGAGCCGCTCCTCACAGTACGGGGCGTAGCCAGGCGGTCCCCCGTGGATGAAGTTCCGCAGGAACTGCAGACGAGGACCAGCTGAGGGCCCCACTCTGGCCTCCCGCCCGGGCCATCAGAGCAGCCTCGCTGGGTCTCCTGCCTCCAATCCCTCCACCCACGCTCAGGACCTGCTTTCCAAGGCGTGTCTCCCCCGGCCCTCCCGTGCCTTCCATGGCTCCCCGCTGCCCTCAGAATGAAGTCCACATACATCATCTTGGCAACAGGGCCACCACCCCCCAGACCTGTCAAGTCTCAGCCATGCCTCTTGCCTCACCCCACACACTGTACCCCCTCTGCACCTAGCTTAACTGCTCCTCCTCCTCCAGGCCCCTCCCTGACGAGTGCTTCCCTCTTCACAGCACTGGCCGCCAGGCTGTCCCCGGTTCTGTCTGTCCCCAGCACCCAGGGCCTGGCACCAAGGAGCCGGCAAGGAAGAGGCCTGAGAGGAACTAAAGCACCTGCTCGAACACAGTATGGAGAGGGGCCCGAGATGCTGTCACACTCAGCCTCCTCACACACAAAACTGGTTGAGGGGAGAACGGCGTGAAGTTCTGGGTGCCTGGGCGGCGGGGACAGGAAGACGGGCCTGGTAGCCGCTGTGAGGCCCCATGAGATGATGCGGGCAGGGCCTCACCCCTCGGCGCTCCGTCCCCTGCTCTCTCCCAGCTCCCCTTCCCGCCCAGGAGTCCAGGCGCCCGCCCTACCTTCACGAACTTCTCAGAGGGGGCGAAGCAGCCCACACAGAGAGACATGAGGATCCAGCCCCGGGCGTAGCTGCTCTTGGAGGGGTTGTGGGTGAGCTGCTTGCTGATCTGGCAGTAGATCTCATCCCTGGGCACGTGGGGAGGCAGGAAGGGAGACGGCTCAGAGGAAAGTCCCCAGCAGGTGGGACACCCAGGCCTTCCTCTGCTACTTGACCAAGACCATCCAAGAAGAGGCAGAGAGGGGCCGGGTGAGGACGGCCGGGCCCAGGCCTGGGGAAGCGGGTCTGCTTTGGAGACGGGCTCACCAGGCACGGAGCCCTTCCTAACGCCAGTCAGACCCACGGACAGTCCCCGTGATCCTGAGGGGGGGGCACATATCCTGCTCTGGGGCACAGCGGCCACAGCCACTGGTGACCACTCTGATGAGGTGCGCAGGCCCCGCCCCAGCCTCGTCCCTCACCAGCTGGGTGGCCGAGGCAGGAGAGTTCACCTTTCTGAGCCCAGCCCACGGTCATGAGAGCAGGTGCAATTGCTACTAATGGCAACTGGCAGAACAGAAGCAGCAAAAACATCTGGGGACTCTCTCTGTGGGGCGGAATGAGCAACTTTGACCTTCTCTCAATACATCTCTGTAACGTTAGAATATTCAAGTGGTCGGGTATTGCTTTTGTAATCAGATGACAGCAATGAAGGTGGGCTTTTGCTTTCATTTCAAAGGGAAACGGTAGTACCTTCCTTACAGGACTGCTGTGCAGAAAATGAGCCGAGGCTTACAAGGCACCTAGCACAGAACCCTCAGTCACCACCACCTGTCACTGCTGGCTGCGGCTGAGACCACTCACTGCCTGCCTGCTCAGGGCCAAGTGCCAGCTGCGGTGATAATGTGGCCACCAGGGGGCGCCCGCGGCTCTTTCCCTCTCAGAAAGGCAGGCCGAGGTGGAAAGGGGAGACGACCTAATTCATTCAGTGGCTCCCAATTTTGAGAGTTAACCAACCAATGCAACTTCAAAATAAATTCTGGACGCTGCTCACTCTTCATCATGACAAATAAGGACATTTAAAACACACCACACACACACAACCTGCCCATTATCTAGGTCACAATTATTTCATACAACAAAGGTAATTTTCATATTCAAAAAGGAGGAAGGCTGAAGTCTCAGAACAAAGAACAGGCCTCCAAATAAATCAAATTTAGTTTTAGAAACACCCTTATCTTTTCCATCTTGTCAGGAACCAATGAAAACTTTATCACCGGCAGCTGGGAGTCCTTGACCCCCATCACTTTATGGACCTACGGGGACACCTGGACCGAGAAAAGGGAAGGACCAGCTGTGGTCCTTCGGGGAGTCAATATCCCAGCCTCCGACTCTTGCCCGGGGCTCTGGCCACTGTGTTCTCTGGAAGTAACCACTGTAGGTCTACTCTTGAGACAACTGGGCCACAAATTCTGCCCCTTTTCCCTGGAGGTGGGTGGCCCTGGGTCCTGTGACCATCTCTTCAATGGCCTGGAGGAGCACCGAGGAGGCCTGGAGGGAAGGCAGAAGGTCTGGGAGGCTAGTGACTCCCGGGGAAGTCTCTGCCCTCTCTGGACCTCAGTTTTCCTTTGGGTGAAATGGAGCTCACCCCCCATCCCCATCCCACCCTGCTGTCCTCCCAGCCAGCGGACACAGGCGCATGGGATCAGCTCTCCCGCCCGACTGTCCTGCGAGTTCTCAGAAAAGGCCCGTTTCCCCTCCACTGACCCAGCTGAGCTGATCCTGGGGACGCCTCCATCATCCCTCTCCTCCCCCAACCCCCAGGGACCTGAGGTGAGCCCCCCGGGCCTGGGCGGGGAAGGTGGCACTGCCAGGCATGAACTGGCAGGGATGCGGTTGAAGCAGGAGACGCATGTCAGGGCGTGATAACAACAGCTACCACTTACTGAGAGCCGCCCAGGTTACAACCTCCTGAGATTCATCTGCCCACAAGCCTCTGAGGCAGGTCCACTTATTACCGCCTCCCCCCCCGCCCCCCGCTTACAGAAGAAGAAACGAACTCTACCAAGGCCACGTGACCAGCAGGCCTGTTGGCTAAGGTGACAGAGCCACAGCTCAGCCACCAGCAGCCTTCCCAGGCCACACCCAGCACTGCCTCCCCAACAGCCACCCCTCCCTGCACCCCTCCCTGCACCCCTCCCTCGGGCGCTGACCGGAGCGCTGGCCGCAGGATGCCGTTGCCGATGACGAAGTGCAGCTTCTCCAGGTTGGAGGTGGGCCGGTCCTCCAGCATGCTGTTGCCCTGCACCGTGGACTCCCCGTCGTGCAGCCTCTTGGTCACCTGGGCCACAGGGAGGAGTGAGGGACCTGCCTCCTGCCTGAGTCTGCCTACCCTCCTTGCCCCCGCCCCCCACCCCCCGCCAAGAGCAGAATCCTGGGAGTGGCCAGAAGAGCTGGCTCCACCAGTCTTGCCCCCATCCTGCCCCACCCCACCCCATGCAGAACAGACGCTGGGTCCATGACCAGCCCACAGGCCGGGAGCACTGGCCTGCTGGCACCCACTTCTGAGGTTAAGGCTCCTCTGCAGCCTCCCTGACACCCCACCCGACCCCCTACCAGTCAGGACAGGGATCTGCTCCTCCAACTCTTGGCAGGACCCCTCTCTCTCCAGGGCTCCCACACAACTCTGACACCCAGAGCTTATCCCAGTTCCAACTCCCCCATCACCATCACCTGTCACCAATGCCCTGGCCCCTCTGTGTGAGCAACGCCCAGCCTGGGTTCTTCTCCCTGGTCTCACACAGCCCACAACCCCAGCCCTGCACCCTGCCCAGGTGAGGGGAGAGTGAGAGCTGAGCAGTGAGAACGTGCCCTCCAGACGGAAGGGGTGTGGGAGGTCCTCACATCTACAAACACCCACAGTTGTCGTCTTGCACTGCCCCCCCCCAGGGACCCACAGAGTGGGTGTCTCAGACACCCAACGGGAAAGGTGGGACTTGGATCTCGGGCTACACGACTGTGAGACTGGATTCGAGCCTCAGATGGGGAACAGGACAAGGACAGAGGCAAAGGCAGTGTGGAAGCCCCGAGGAGGAGCCTGGTGGCTGTAGAGGGGGCGCACGAGGCTTCCCGGAGGAGGCCACCCCCAGGCAGAGGAGAGGAGGGAGGAATTTAGGGAGAAGCACTGGTGTGTGCAAATGTAGGGGCACAGGGGGGCCAGCCCTGCGCTGTAACCGCCTGGGTTTGTGTTCGTCTGCCCTCCCAGCCTGAGCAACCTGGAGCGCAGGGCAGGGGTGGTTCTCGGAAAAGGCAAGGTGACTAACCAATGAGCGCAAACAAATCACAGTGTCGGTGCCCGTGGCACTCATCCCACAGAAAGGTCCTGAGATGAACGCTATGGCAGGGCACGTCCTCCCTCCCAGCTGCCTCTTCAGCCCTCCCGGCCTTCAGGTCCCCTCGTCCGGGAAGCCCTCCCCGACCTGACCCCCGCCTGACCTCACTGCCCTCTTCCCGTCTCCCCCATCCCCCCCTACGCTGTCCTGTCGCCTGCCGTCCCAGCGCCCTGAGGACAGGCAGCATGGACGCCCGCTCCCATCCCAGCGGGGCCCCCTGAGGCAGCCGGGGTCTGCGCTGACCTCCTCTGTCAGCTTCGACTTCTTCTTCAGGGTCAAGTGCACCAGCTTGTGCCGCATGCTGCTCTTCTTCTGCCCCTCGGGGAGCTGGGCCTGCAGGACAACGGGGGTCAGGGGTCAGGGTCAAGCGAGTGGGCCCAAGTAATGACCAGCGCAGTTGACCATGGGCTGTGGCTGGAGGAGTGTCTCACCTCCACACTAATGCGTAGGAGGCAAACCCCGCGTGACACCTCCACCCTCACCCCACACGGCCCCTACCACCACCAGACGGAAAACTGGGGCTGGGAAAGTATAGCGACCCGCCCTGTGACCCTCGGTGAGTCTCCATGGCTCCAGGCCTGACTATGAAGGCCGGCTGCTCCGCCAGGTGGCCTCGCTCACTCGTGGTCAACGCCTGACAGTTTACAAAACACTCAAACACTTGCTCCCAGGGGTAGACAGAGGAGAGCGTGGGTCTGGGGGGTGAGGCAGAGGCGAATTTTAGGATCCTCCTCTGCCAAGGACCCTGAGGCTAGGGAGACCGGACAGCCCTGCCCACTGGCCGGGAGGGACATGGCCTGGGCTCCCCCCCCCCCCCCCCCCGCTCCCCGCCCCCGGGCCTCACCTCGCCCTCGCCCTGCAGCGCCTGCAGCTCCCTCTTGTACGTCTTCTTGCCGAGGGTCTCGTAAATCTTGGTCATCACCGGGATCTTCTCGCTGCCGTCACTCATGGCCGTGTGGTACTTGGGCTCGGGGAGGTCCCCCATGAACCGGAGGATGGTGATCCACACGGCCAGGGCCGCCTGGGGGAGAGCATGGGAGTCAGAGAGCTCAGTGCAGGGTATCGCTACAGCCAGCAGCGTCCCCAGGGGCCGGGGAGGGGCTGGAGAAGCCCACAGGAGGCCACTGTGCTGAGGGCACTCAGGTGATCCTAGGACAGTGATGGCGAACCTATGACACGCGTGTCAGAGGTGACACGCGAACTCATCTTTTTGGTTGATTTTTCTTTGTTAAATGGCATTTAAATATATAAAATAAATATCAAAAATATAAGTCTTTGTTTTACTATGGTTGCAAATATCAAAAAATTTCTATATGTGACACAGCACCAGAGTTAAGTCAGGGTTTTTCAAAATGCTGACACGCGGAGCTCAAAAGATTCGCCATCACTGGCCTAGGATCTTGCCCAGGTCGCCTGACCCCAGGGTGGGGGTGGGCCGAGTCAGTCCTGGTCCCCGCCCACCAGGGACCTGCTCTCAGCACCCACAGCCCCAGCCCTCACCAGCTGGTCACCCTCATCGTCATGGTACAGCAGTGGCTGCTTGAGTGGCCGCCGGGTGTAGGTGTGCGTGGTCGTGCCCTGGAAGTAGGTGGCAGAGAACTTGGCGAATTTGTACTCTGAGAGGTCCTCCTCATCCTCGTCGGGCAGGGGCAGCGCCGCGTCCAGGTCCTCCTCCACCATCTCCCTCCGCCCGCGCTCCAGGTCCTGAGGAGAGGAGAGGGTCCCTGCTGTGGGGGCCACTCACCTGGCTTCAGCCCCCTCCTGCCCTGTGGGGCCAGCACTGCCTCCCCCAGGGGCTACTGTGCCGTCCTGTTCACGACTTAGAACCTGGCGCATGCGGAGAGCTCAGTGCATGAATGAATACAAGCTGGTGAGTGGCCCTGGAGAGGGACAGTGACTGACCGGGTGTGGCAGGCTGGCGGCTGGACAGGGCCTGGGCCCTGTGGCCCCCGACCCAGGTCATTGCTGCTGCCCTCTGCTCAGAGGGGACCAGGTGGTCTTCAACGCAGGGGGGCGCAGTCACCCCACTGAGGCCTGTCGCCAGCCCATTCCCGGCCTCGTACCTCAAAGCCACTGGGGGCCTGGCCCTCCTGGCCCGGCAGGCCGCCCGAAGTCCCCAGGAAGCCGAACATCTTGTCCACCATGTCGGAGTGATTGACGGGCTCGTGGCGGGCCCTCTCCATCTGCTCCAGGAGCTCCTTCTTCCGCCGGGCCTCCTCCTTCTCCTTCAGCTCCCGCTCCGCGTCCTCGCGGGCCAGCTGGGCCAGGCGCTCCTGGCGGGTGGGGGTGATGCAGAGGAGACAGCTTCAGAGAACAAGGCCTCCCTGGGGAGCCCCAGGGCGCCTGCAATCCCCCAGGCCACAGTCCGCCTCTCCCCCTGGGCCTCCTGGCCACTGGGAGGGACTGGCTTTGGGCTTCCCCACCCCGGGCCTCACTCCCATCAGCCCTCTGAGCCTCGTGCAGACAGATGCCCAGTCAGTAAGGCCACCTGCCCCCAGGGCTCAGCTGGAACGCCTCCCCCAGGAAGCCTGCTCAGGCCTCCCCAGCTGGAGGGCACCACACCATCCAAAACCCCATCGCGGTGGCTCGAGGCTGTAGCCAGCGCTTCCCACAGAAAGATCATGGGAGCCATGCATGGCGCCACTACGCTTCAAACAGTCACAGAAAGTAAGTGAAACCAACTTTAATCATATATTTTATTTAACCCAATTTTTCCAAAATACCATCTCAACATGTAATTAATATTTTAAAAATAGTTCCGAGATGGTTTATAGCCCTGTTTTTCTCACTGCCTTCAAAACTCGTGTGTACTTTATGCTGCCTGTGCTATGTCATTTCAAAAGCTCAGTCACCACAGGTGGCTGGTGGCCCATGCTGGGTGCTCTGCCCCCGGCTCAGGCTTTTAGGGAGGTGCTGTCTCCCAGCTAGAAAAGGTGCTCCTGAGGGCACGGACCCGCGCACTCTGGAGCCACAGCCCTCCCGCCTCTGTCCTGGGCCAGGACGGGCACCCAGGGCACACATGAAGGGGGGGAGTAGAGGACAGAGGCTGGCAGCCAGTGTCCGGGAGGCTGTCGGCCAGTGGATGGACAGCAAAGTGCTGGGACAGTCCCCGCTCACCTGATGCTTGCGCTCGGCCTCCTCCTTGGCCTTCTTGGCGCTCATCTCCTTCCGCAGCTTCTCCTCCTCCGCCAGCCGCATTTTCTCGGCCTCCAGACGCCGCCGGTACTGAGGGAAGGGAGAGCCGATGGGCACGAACCATGTGGAGCTGGCCCCGTGCTTCCTCCAGCTCTGCCCCACCCACCTGACTGAGGCCTGGGAGTGATTTGCCAAATCATTGGGCAGGTGGGGAAACTGAGGCACCTGAGACATTCCCCGGGTCACACGGCTCGGGGGCCGGGGAGTAGGTTTGACACCATTGATCCTCAAACCAAACCAGGTTCACCGGCACCTCCCAGAGATTTGTCCTTGGCTGGGAGAATGAGCATGAGGGGTCTGGTCCCAGTGTGGTCATTCCTCAGGGGAGACCCAGCCCTAGGTCTCAGCCAGCAATGGGGTGACGTGTCCCCCTGCGATGAGCACTCGCCCCTCACTGGCGGGCACTGCTCACCTCGGCCCGGAGGCGCCGGTGCAGCCTGCGGGCGATCATGCCCCGGGCGTAGGCCTGCACGGTGAGCACGGCCCAGAGGCGGTGGCGGAAGGCCTTGCGCACCAGGTAGGCCCGGCAGCGCGCCTGGAACTGGATGATGCGCCGGCGGGCCAGGCGGTACTGCTGGTGCAGCTTCCGGGAGCGGTGCAGGGCCTGCAGCCGCAGGAAGCCCAGCCGCATCTGCAAGGACAGCCCGCTCAGAGCCCTGGCCCCTCTCCCGCCGCGTGCCCCGCAGGAACACCCTGACCCCCTGGACCGGGGCTCCCGGAGGGAAGCTCTGCCTCCTCTCAGGCGGAAGGTTCCCAGGAGTGGCCTTGGCGCCCCATCCTCTGACCAGGAGCTGCTCTCCTTCCCGTCTGCCTCCCCAGCCCAACCCCAGGCTGCAGCCCAGTTGCTCCCCTGAGGTCAGTGGGACACCCCTGCTTCGGGCCCCCTCGGAGATCTCTAAGGACCTAGTGCTCACTCTCATCCAAACATTCCAGAAGAAAAACCTAAACATCGCTGACCCAGATGGGAAAAGGCACAAGAACCAGACTTGGACTTGGGGCTGGGAAAATGGCCAGGGCAGGATGGGGCAGTGGCAGGAGGCCAGGCGTCTGGGGCACAGGTACATCCTGCTGCTACGGCAGCCGGGCAGGTTCAAAGGCCTTGTGGGGCAGGAGCAGCCCCCCCGGGGAGGCTCACCAGCTCATAGTTCCTCCGGCAGTTGTGGCCCCGCCAGTGCCTCTGGATCAGGGTGGCAGCGTTCTTCAGCTTCAGGAAGTTGGACCTGAAACAGCAGGAGATCCTCAAAGCAGAGACGGGGTGCCCAGAGGCAGCAGGGTGCAGGCGGGGCTTGGAATCAGGACAGCAAGGCTAGTCCCAGCCCTGCGTCTCCTGGATCAATGACCTGGGGCAACAGGGTATCACCTCTCTGCCTCAACTTCCTCATCTGTGAAGTGGGTAGAATGATACCTGCCCTGCCTGCTCACAGGCTTGTCACATGAGCCCGTAAGGAGATTTTCCATGTTTATTGAATAAATAAATAAATAAATGTATGAATAATAAGTAAATAATCTTAAAGATGAAAATATTTGAACTGTGTGAACTTCACTCACTACTATCAGATTTCCCCATTTTATAGATGAGAAAACTGAGACTCGATGACGCTGGACTAGAGCCCACATTGTCTGGCTGAGTGAGCCCAATGCTGTTCCCCCGAACACTCTACATGACAGTCACCTGTGACCGGATGGAGGACAAAGAGGCCACAGGTCCAACAGCAGGTGTCTGCTGAATGTGGAAATACATGTAGGAGGAGTGAAAAATTAATACGGCCACGTGTGAATGAGCCAGCACACCAATGCCTGGAGCCACACAAGAGCAAGTGAGCAACTGTGGAAGGAAACAGTAGATGGGTGGGCAGGCACACAGATGAACAGACAGGTGGGTGGGTGGATGGATGGATGGATGGAGAGGAGGGAGTGACCAGATGAACTGTGGGATTTTTGTGGAGCCTGAATCGCACTCCAGAGTCAGTCCTGCTGATTTGTGAATTATCACAGCTATACACATGTCCCTTATTTGGAATTTATAAAATTTGTAATTTATAAAATCTCGAATTTCCTCTTTGAGAAATGTCATCAGGCATTTGAGATCACAGAGTGTCCACATGTGTGTGCCCCCTGAATCCACATGTGTGTGCCTGTGTAATCGTGTGTCTGTGTGCACCCATGAGCTGTGCAGCGTGTGCTCATGTCTAGGTGTGCACCTGGGTGTGCATGCGTATTTTTAGTGCTCCAGTTAGAGGAAAGAGGTGTGTGGGCTCCCATGGGGAGGGCTGGTCCCGGCGCGTACCTGTCTTTGAATCCCCGGATGACCTTCTGGAGGAGGATGACTCTGTCGGTGATGGCCTTGTCCCGCTCCACCTCCAGCAGCATGTCGTGGTGGTCCTGGGGGGCAGAGCTCCTGAGCAGCGGCCCCCCACGAATCCAAGGGAAGGCCCTCTCTTCCTTCCCTTGGATTCCAGGCCTGGGGCTTGCCTGGGCCTCACAGGCTCCCAGCCCTGCTCTGCTCCGTGGGGCAGCCTCTCCCAGCCACAGGACAGAGAGAGGTGCTGTGGCTGTTCCCAGGGTTCTGGGTGGGACAGATGGAGCGGGAGGAGCCGAATCCTACTGGATAGAGTCAGAGGGTGCGATGGGCACACACAGCAGCTTCATCCCGATGGCCTTGTCCGCCGACGCCGTGCCTTCCCCGATGTCTCTGTCATATCAGCCTCTGACCTGGGCCAAGCCACCCTCTGGGATCTTGGCAGCAGCCTCCTCACCAGTCTCCTGGCCTCTGTCGCTCCCCTTGGCCTCCCTAAGCAGGGACCCTCCTGAAACAACTCTCCGGTGATCTTACCGTGATGCCCATGACTCTCGGGGACAAGTCTGGTCTCCCCTGGCCCTCAGGCCCTCCATGATCCAGGCCCTGCCAAGTTCTCTAGGCCTGTCCCCTCCTCACCCCCACACCCCCACCCTTCACTCTGGTTAGGCAAAAATCTCATCATTCATTCAATGCCTTTAAAACTAATGTCTCCAGCCGAAACCGGTTTGGCTCAGTGGATAGAGTGTCGGCCTGTGGACTGAAAGGTCCCAGGTTCGATTCCGGTCAAGGGAATGTACCTGGGTTGCGGGCATATCCCTAGTAGGAGATGTGCAGGAGGCAGCTGATCGATGTTTCTCTCTCATCGATGTTTCTAACTCTCTATATCTCTCCCTTCCTCTCTGTAAAAAATCAATAAAATATATTTAAAAAAAACAAACAAACAAAAAAAAACACTAATGTCTCCATTGCCGGCCCCGTGCTAGGTGCTGGAGTGGGTCCTTGGCGAGCCAGGCAGACAGCCACCCCACCCCCACCCCGTGCTGAGTCTCTGTGGGGAGCCACATCCACCAGCTAATCACAGACCACATCTCCTGTGGCGAGAGCTCAGCACAGAGGAGCTGCCCAGCCATGCCTTTCTGAATGAGTGAACGAATGTGTGAACGAATGAATGCATTGATGGGAAGTGGACATTGAGACTGGAAGCCACTGCCGGTTGCTGAAGAGCCCAGAGAGGTGAGGCTGGGGACAGTGATGGCCCTCGGAGCTGCCGGCACTCGGTGCCATTGTGCTGCGTGCCCTCCCTCCCTTACCTACAGGGCCGGGCATCAGACCAACCCTGGCTGCAAGCCCAGGGCCTGACCTCGGCATCTCACTTCTTCTCTCTGAGCCTCTGAAATGGGCATAATGATCCTACCTCACTGGCTGCTGTGATGACTAAATAAGATCGTGGACAAAAAGCCCCACCGAGTCTGGGCAGTTGTGGGATGCAGGCCCGGTGCACACATTTTTCCGATGAGGAAATGAAGGCTCGGGGAGATGAAGGGACTGGACTGTGGCCCCGCAGCCAGGAAGGAATGACACTGGAGCCCGGGGCCCCCTCTGGCTCCGGGCTGGCTCCTTCCTTCCCTCCACCCAGATGTCCTGTGCAGCCCAGGCCCCACCCGGTACCAGAGGAAGGAGCCCTGCCCTGTGACCCCGAACGGCCAGAAAGCGAACGCGACGGAAATGGAAATGAGGAAGCCCACAGGCTGAGAGCTCACACTGGCCCTGGGGCAGCAGCCTGGCCACCACCAACAGCCAGCAAGCTCTGCTCCAAGGCCAGGACACCCCAGGACCTTGCTTCCTGCTCCCAGCTCAGGCGGCGGTGGGAGCCAGAGAGCTCCAGGTTTGTGCTCAGGGAGGGTAGGAACCAGGGACACTAGAGAGTGAGGGGGTGGCACCCACCAGAGCCTGGGGTGAGCCCTGCCTGGCAGGAAACCACAGTCGAGAAATCCCCCACCAGGCACATCCCATTTTATGGGGAAATGAGGCTCAGCAAGAGCCAGTGGCCTGCCCAGAGTCCCAGGGAAGACAGCCACGGGGTCCGCATTGAACCATGAGCCCACTTTGGTCTTCTACTTTCTCACCCAGGGTCAGTGCTCTGACCCCAACCCCAGGTCACAGCTGGGCTCAATACCAGTTGCCCCTCCCCTACCAAGAAGGCCTCATTTCCCACCCACACGCCCACTCGTCCTATCACAGATTGCAGGATGGGAGGATGCACAGACCCAGCCCTGACCCCGTCTGACGCCAGCTTCTCCAAAGAGGCCCCCTGGCGCCCGTTCCCACCGTGACAGGAGTCCACAGCCCCCAAGGCAGTCGGCTTGGAGCCTTTCTCACCTTCAGAAAGATCTTGGTTTTGCCAATCTGCCAGTCGTCGTGCGTGCCCAGCACAGCCTCAGCCATGCGCTGGCAGGTCCCCCGAAGGTCGTCCTGGGGGGCAGGGGCGCACCAGGGAATGGGCAGCGGGAAAGGCCACCTCTGTGCTCCTCCCACGCTGGGAGGCAGGGCTCTCGCTCCAGCTCCGTCCCAACTCACTGTGTGACGCAAGCAGGCCCTGCCTTCTCTGACCCTCCCTTCTCTCCTCAGCTCGGCAGGGTGCCTGCAGGACCCTCTCCCGCATCTGCCCGGCTGGAGAGGCTCAGTGGTTGAGCATCGACCCATGAACCAAGACGTCGCCGGTTCAAGTCCCGGTCAGGGCACATGCCAGGGTTGTGGGGTGTGCAGGAGGCAGTTGATCAATGGTTCTTTCTCATCACTGATGTTTCTATCCCTCGCTCCCTCTCCCTTTCTCTCTCTAAAAAAAAATCAATAAAAAACATATTAAAAAAAAAAAAAACACCCCTCTCCCACATCTAACACCCACAGCCCACTTGGCAGCCCTGGTCTCATCCATTACACCCACCGGTGAAGTCCACGCACAGCAAGCACGGCCATCGAAGCCCTCGCTGCCCTCCTGACCCCAGTTTTCCCAGCCCCACCTCAGGAGGCAAGCGGCGTCACGCCCGGCACCCCGTCTCAAGGGGAGAATGGGCCCTTGCCCAGCCCAGAGCTGGGACCGTTCCTCCTGCCCCCCGTGCCTCAGCTCTGTACCTGCTTGTAGGCCGGCTTCACGCCGGGCAGCAGCACTCGGTACCGCTCCACGAACTCCACGAAGCTGTAGCGGATGGGGTAGCCGGCTCGGCGGATGCGGATGGTCTCCATCATCCCCGAGTACCGCAGCTGGCGCACGCACAGGTGCCGGTCGAACAGCTGCCCAGAGCCAAGCGTGTCAGTGCTGGCGGGTCCTGCTGGGAGCCCAGCCCTGCTCCGCATGCCCCCAGCCCCAGACATAGGCCCAGAGAGGCCCAGGCCGCACAGCAGATGAGGAGCAAAGGTGGGACGGAACCTGGGTCTGCAGTTCAAACCCACATGGCAGCAAGAAATGAGATCCTCACGGAGGTGAGCTGGTGCTTGGGGGCAGAGAGGAGAGATGGCTTAATTCCCCCTGGGACATGGGGGGGGGGGCTGCCTGGGGGAGGCAGCCTTTGCTCTAACCCTGGAGAACACTGGAGGGGCAGGGCGAGCATATGCAAAGGTGCGGAAGCCTGAAAGTGCAGGGCATGTCGGGGGACTTCACAGGGACTGCGGAGGCTGACCCTCGCCAGGATTGTGGTTGTGCAGGTGCTGGGTGCCTGGCACATCCCAGGGGTTGCCCTTCGTGCTACGGTCATTGCAGATTTGTCATTATTTAGACAACTGTCTGGCTGCTGACAGTTAAGTGCCTTAATTTGTCTAATCGGCGCACAGTTGTTTTTGTGATGGCAGCCGCAGGGCCAGCCTGGGGTTCCTGGAGGGCTGAGAAGGCCCTCGGGAGCCTGGCTAGGGGGGCCGCAGGCAGTGAGCGGTCAGACGCGTTTGACTCCTGTCTCTCACTGCAGTGGAGGGGCCTGGACAGGGAGGCAGGGGCAGGAAAGCGGAGGGCAGTGAGGATGTCCTGCTATCAAGGTCCAGGCCACAGATGCTGGGGTCGGGGCCCAGAGAAGGGCATCTGAAAGATGGTACCCAACTGCCTGGCAGGGCCCTGGCCTCATTCCTCCTGCTTTAGGTGGGGAGCTTGCTGGGGACCCTTTGAACCTCACACCCTGCAGACCTGGCCCTGAGCCCCAGGGGGGACCCATCAGGTCAGCGCACTCCGCACTCCGGGGAATGCATCTAGCAGGGGACAGGGCCAGCAGGGGACAGGGCCAGCACGCGTGCGGACGGGCTGGCTTCCTTCCGCCACCTGTTTCCTCTCCCTCCAGGCACTTTCCCTGGCCCCCCACCTTCTGTCCCACCCACCCCCGCCCCAGCCTCTAGGAAGAGCATGTGGCAAACAACACATCCAGGGCCCTGGGAGGACGGGCGCCCAGTGAGGATTTGGGCTCTGCAGCTGCAAACCCCTTAACCTCCCGGAGCCTTCGGTCCCACATCTCAAATGTGGGGGCCCTCACCCAGTCCCCACCCTGCCCCCCACGGCCCGGCCCCTCCACCGCCCCCACCCCCCCCACCCCCAGGCTGGTTCCACTCACCATGGGCTTCTTGAACTCGTTGGGCTTGATGCAGCGCACGAAGAAGGGCTGGCAGGCACCCAGGGTGCGCATCAGCAGCTCCAGCGACCGCTTGAACTGGCTGCTGAGCGTGGGCGAGCGCTTCCTGGTCTCCGCGCCCTGGGGGGACGGACCACAGCGATGGGAGGGGCTGACCTGTGTCCGCCAGCACTCGGGAAGGGAAGGGAAGAGAAGGGAAGGGAAGGGAAGGGAAGGGAAGGGAAGGGAAGGGAAGGGAAGGGAAGGGAAGGGAAGGGGAGGGAAGGGACGGTGGGAGGTCAGCGGGCTCAGGGCCTGAGGGAGGACAGCCCTGCGGTGAAGCAGGCTGCCCGGGACTTGGGGTTTCCCTGTGACCTGTCTGGTCTGAGCTGGAGCTTGGACCCAGGCGTGCCCGCTCCAGGGAGCCGCCTGGGACCTGAGCCAGAAAGAGCCCTGGTGTGCTGGAGGCTTCTAGGCAAGGCACAGCCCCTCTCTGAGTCCCCAGTCTCCCTCTCCAGGAACAAATGAGTGGCCGAATGTGCTCACTCAGGGCACAGGTAAGGGGAGGGGTCCTTCCTAGAGACAGGTGAGAGGACCTAAACTCAAACCCTGGCCCACCACCTCCTGCATGGTCCTGAGCGCCGAGCCTCCCTCCCTATCAGGCTGACAGGCTGTGATGAGAGTGGGCACAGTGGACGTGAACAGCAACCTGGGAACCTGGGATAGGGGGTGGGGGCTGGAGGGTGGGGGATTGGGGGGGGCTGCCTGTGCCCTCCCCTTCCTGTGGGATTAGTGGTTCAGCAGCTGGCCTGGCCAAGCAGGTCTGGGTCAGCCTCCTAAGAAGGCACAGAGCTGGCCTCCCACTGTGTGGCCCGAGGCCCATGGCTCTGTGCTCTGCCAGCCAGTCTCTCTGGGGAGCCCACCAGGGACCCCTGCACCTCCCTGCCCTGGTGGAGCCCCTCTCAGAATATGGTGAGATGGTGGAGTGGGGTGGGGTGGGGAGGCCGGACAGCAAACAAACAGGAAGTGGACCATCTCAGACTGATACCCAGACACTGGCCATAGAAACCAGATTCTATTCCAAAGCATTTTGATGTTATGGTTTTGCTGGAAACTTCTGTTGGGTGAGGATTTCTCATGAATGAATTTGATTATTATTGTAAGGTTTTATGCTACACGTGAGACATAAATGTAGCTGATCTCCTGCAGCGCCCAAAACCCGGGGTGCAGATGCAGACATGTGAGGTGTGTGGAGGGGGGTGGGCAGAGGCGTTGAAGCCATAGCCCATGAGCCTCAGACTGAAATGAACCTGCCGAGAAACAGCCAACACTTGCTGGTCTGAAATGTGCAGTGTTTTCCGTTGTCGTTTTATTTGGAGCATTTCCTAAGGTTTGCCAAGGGAAGCTGGGGGTGTTTGCAGGGTGGTGGGGTGGATGTCAGGCTGGCTGCCCCCAACCCTGACCCAGCAGCAGCACTGGGACGGGGAGCTGTCCAGGTTGGGCTGTGCCCAGCCTGTGTGGGAGCCCCTGCCCTAAGCAGACACAGCACAGACACAGAACTCATACACAGCTCACAGAACACACACACAGCATACACAGCACACAGCTCACAGAAAACACACACAGCATACACAACACACAGCTCACAGAACACACATACAGCATACACAATGCACAGCTCACAGAACACACACAGCATACACAGCACACAGCTCACAGAACACACACAGCATACACAACACACAGCTCACAGAACACACACACAACATACACAACACACAGCTCACAGAACACACACACAGCATACACAGCACACAGCTCACAGAACACACACAGCATACACAACACACAGCTCACAGAACACACACAGCATACACAACACACAGCTCACAGAACACACACAGCATACACAACACACAGCTCACAGAACACACACAGCTCACAGAACACACACACAACATACACAACACACAGCTCACAGAACACACACACAACATACACAACACATAGCATACAACACACAACTTACAGAACACACACAGCATACACAACACACAGCACACAACTTATAGAACATATAGCACACACATACAACACACAGAGTGCACAAGTTACAGAACACACAGCACATACATATAACACACAGATCGCACACACAGCACATATACACAACCACACACATAACCCACAGCTTTCTTTGGTTTTGACCACAATGGAACCACCTTAGTCTGTGTTTGCTGAGCTGTGGGCCGTGTGAGGACAGGTGGGCCTGCCTTTCTTACTGCTGTGCCCAGGGCCTGGCACGGAACCAGCCCACAGCACAGCTGATCTGAAGTGCTGCTGACCTCGTTCCAGGGCTCCCAGAAATGGTCCACCTCCGATTGCTCAGGCCAAAACCCTAGTAGCCATCCAGCTCTTCGCACATCCAGCAGGCCAGCATCTTCTCGGCTCCCCTCCAAAGGAGGCCCAGGACCTGCGTCCTTCCCACTCCTCACTGTCCGCCCGGTCCAAGCCACCACCGGCTCTCTCAGATCCCTGTAAGAACCTCCAAGCTGCTCTGTCCCCCCACACCGCCTCCACTCTGCCATGACACAACAGCCGACAGCAGCCGCAAGACCTGGCCCCTGTAGCTGCTCGCTCTCCACACCCGCTCGCTCCCTCCAGCCAGCCGCCTCCCGCCTCCTGCTCTTCCTATAAGGCACTGGCAGGCTTAGGCTGAGGAGCACCTGAGGGCATGGACTCGCTGTCCCCTCTCCCTGCCGTGCTTTTCCCCCCACAATGCACATGGCGGGCTTCTCCGCCCCCCCCCCCCGCCTTTATCGACGTCTCCATAGGCCTTTCCCGATGCCCCTGTTCAACATTGCAACGCCCCCCCAACCGGCATTCCCCATTTCTCAATCTTTCTCCATGTCATATAGCCCCACCTGACATGCTATATACTTTACTTATTGCAACTGATTAACTGTTTCCCCTTCTGCCAGAATGTAAGTTTCATGCAGACAGGACATTTTCCCCGTTTTGTTCACTACTATGTCGTCAACACGTAGGACAGCGTCGGGCATATAGGGCACACCAGCAGTTATGCCTGGATCATGGAGCGAACGGGCCATGGAGCACGGGCTCTGCCATCACCCCCGGCCACCTGGGCTCCTGATTTGGCTTTTATCGGTGAGGGGAAAGGTGGCCCTTCCTGGTATTCCTCGTCTCGGGGATGACCTGAAGATATTTGGGGATGGCATCTGGGAGGGTGCGGGGGGCGGGGGGCGGGGGGGCGGGTAGGGTAAAGGCAGGAGTGAAAAGTCCAGAAGTCAATGTTAAGTGACTCCACAGAAGGGACCTAAGAGGCAGGCACCTGAGTGTGGGGGGAACGGGGCTGGGAAGCCGCCAGCACAGAGTGAACAAAACGTCCGTGGACTCGGGGCCCCGGGGACATGTGACTGGGGTTAGACATTAATCCGGGTGCTCAGTGCCACCGTCCTGATGGCTCAGCTGAGCTTCCCAGCAGCAGTGGCTGGGGTGGGGCTGCCAGGGCCGTCCTGGGGAGGAGACACAAGAAGCAAGGCTGGGAGCTCAGGGGTGGGGGCCTGCACGGGACATGCGTTCAGATCGCTGGACAAGGCGTCTGGGCTTCCGCCCCGAGAGAGCACTGCAGCCAGCACGCTGTGTGGAATAAACTGACTGCACGGTTCACCCAGCCGGTTCCCGTGTGCCTTTAACAGACCCGCGGTGTTTCCGGCGGGTACAGAGCATTTTTCTTCTCGAGGGGGACGCTCACAGAGACACCATCGTGCAGTGGAAAGAGCGGGGGCTTGAAAAGCCTCACTAGCCCTCCCTTGCATGTGACCTTGGACAAGTCGCTGTACCTCCACGAGACAGACCTGGATCTAACCCTTGTGTGGCACAAGCTGTGTGAGCTCAGGCAAGCAGCTAGGCCTCTCTGGGCCCCAGCTTCCTTAGCTGTCACCTGGGGGCAATCGTACTTTGGGGTGAGAGGAGAGGGGGTGGAACGAGAAGACGGGGTGCAGTGGTATTCCAGGACCATGAAGACCAGAAGGAGTAGGTGGGCCGGCAGGTGGGCTGAGAGGAAAGAATGGAAAGGACGAGAGGAAAGAATGCAGGGGAGCCTGGAGGTCTCATCAATGCGACCCTGGGTCAGGTGGATTCGGGGTGGGAGTGCTCGGAGCTGGTGCTTCAGGAGTCTGGGCCCCGTTTTGGTGGTGGCCCTACCTTCACGCTGTTAACTGACTGAGCCACAACGGGGGTGGGGTCCAGGGCTGCTCCATGGGCAGCGGACAGAGGCCGCCCTGCTCCTGCCCCACTCTGCAGCCGTGGCTTTCACAAATTGTTTCAGGACTCTGTGAGGCACTGGGCAGCAGGGAGCGCCAGACATCCAGGAAGGAAGAGGGACTCAGCATTTAGACCACGTGTGGGACGATGCAGGATTAGACAGAGACTGAGGGTTCCGAAGGGAAAAGGGAGGCAAAGGGGATGCCAGAGCTCTGCCGCCGCTAAGGGGGCCCCAGCACCTTTGGCACCTAAAGCACCTGGGAGCCACGACCTGAAGGGGTGCTGTTCCAGAGCCTAGCACAGTGGTCGGTCGGCAAACTGCGGCTCTCGAGCCACATGTGGCTCTTTGTCCCCTTGAGCGTGGCTCTTCCACAAAATACCACGTGCAGGAGCGCATGTACAGTGCGATTGAAACTTTGTGGCCCGTGCACAGAAGTCGGTATTTTGTGGAAGAGCCACACTCAAGGGGCCAAAGAGCCGCATGTGGCTCGCGAGCCGCAGTTTGCCGACCACTGGGCCCTAGCAGGTCTGGGCGAGGCCTTCTAGGGCCAGCTCCCCCAGATGCTGACTTGGGGTGGGTCACACCCATCTCTGAGCTTTCTATCCGAAAAATGCAGAAAACACCACCTGCCCCTCCTGCCGCACAAGGTCACCCAGGACCTGACCGAGCGCAGGGCCTGGGAGGAGCTGCCTTGATGCCTCGAAGAGGCTCAGTGGGGGCAGAGGACGGGAGACTCCGGTTTGGTCTCGGCGCTGCCCCTGGCTCACGGGGCAGCTGGGCAAGTCTTGCCTCTTTTTCTAAGACTCAGTTTCCTTCTTTAAGAAACTGAGATGCCTGCAATACACACACTCAGAAACCAAAAACAAAATCACTCCACAAACCACTCCACAAAAAAACACACTCAAAAAAATAAAAATAAAGAAAAGCCAGCCCTTTCCCCAAACCTTGGTGCCATGGGGACCAAGGACACAGCCTAGTCCCAGGGGCCTCAGGGCTTTTACCTTCGCAGAAGCTGCTGACTGGCGGAGGGTGCCCGATGAGTAACCACAGAGAAACTATAGCAGGAACCACAGTGCAGGCGCGATGGGGGGAGGGGCAAGGAGAACGGGGTGGGTCAGAACAGAGGGCGAAACCCACCAGGGAGAGAAGAGGACCCGCAGGGCAGAGGTCTGGGCTCCTTGGGGCTGGGGGCATCTGAGGCACCTGGACGGGCACCGAGGGGGTAGCGGCTCTGCCGGCCCTGTGAGCCTCTCCGTGCCCCTCCAAGAAGCCAGGGGACAGGAGGAAATATGAGAAAAAGGCATATGATCCTGCAGGGAGAGGCCCACCAGCCTCCCACTCGAGGGACAAAGGAGAGACGGACAGTGAGGAATTCTCCACCCACGGGCTCCAGGGCTGATGCACATCTATCCTTTGTGCCATTTCTCTGAATGCCCACACCTACCAACAACCTTGAGGCTGGACCTGCTCCCTTTGCCTGCTCCCTGTTAGCAGTAGGAGGTCTGGGGGGAAGGGGGACCCCATGGTAAACCAAGTCCTGATCAGGCTCTGCTCTGTGACCTCTCACGTGGCCCTTCTCTGGGCCTTGCACACACACACACCCCCCCCCCGCACCCTCCCCCCCCCCCAAGTCAGTACAGGACCAGATGGGAGGGTCCTGGAGGCCCCCGACCCCTCCTAGAGGCATAGGAAAGCTCTGTCCTGGCTCTGCGGCCAGAGGGACGCGCTGAGGCTGTTGGACAAGGGTGCCTAGACACCGGTCTGGCGCCTGGGGACCCCTCCCCCCCCATGGAAGCCCTGCCCCCACGTTACCATGGCGACATCGGCCTGGAAGATCTGCTTGATGAACTTGTTCCTGGAGGAGTGGACCAGCTGGATGATGTCTCCGTGCAGGGTGTCCCGGTTCTTCTCCAGGAAGCCTGGACAGCGGCAGAGAGTGGTCATGCCTTGCGGGCTCCGGCTGCCTCCACCTGACAAGACTCAGCCCCGCCTCCCCCCCCCCCCCCCGCCCAAATCCAAGGCCAGAGGATCCTCAACATTCACCCAGTCCACCCACATCCGTGTTTCAGTGGGGGCACTGAGGCCGGGAGAGGACAGCCACTGGCCCAAGGTCACAGAGAGAGTGAGGGCAGAGCCTGAGCTGGAGCTCCATAGCCCCAACCGCACAGCCCCTCCTCAGGCTGGTCAGAGAGAGGGCAGCAGGTGTGTCCCGGGGACGGAGTGGGCACCTCCCTGGGTGAGCCCCAATGCCTAAAATGCCAGCCTCAGTCTTTTAAACAAAGGTGTCAGTCAAAAGCAATGGTGTCACCTGGGAGAGACTACATGTTGATCTGGTACCAGCTAATAGTACAAAAATTAACTCACAATAGCTTGCCTTATGTTTTCAACGTCCCCTCACAGCTGCCCCCGCGCCCAGGAGGTGTGGGACAAGCAGGGATTATCTTCTCATCCCACAAGGGAGTAAATCGAGCTCAGAGAAGCTAAGCAAGTCACAGGCAGAGTTAAGACTCAAACTCAGGACCACCGGCGCAGGCCAAGGAGGCTTCCCTACACCACACAGACCCCAGCTGCCACTCCCAGTTAATGGGGAGTTAGGAGCTGATTAATGGGGGGGGTTGTTAGCGGGGGCAGGAGACAGGTGCTCAGGGCTGAGGAGGAGGGACACTGCAGAGGGCAGCACCCTCTCCCCACAGGACTTGGGCTGCCCGGGCTGGGAGATGGCACAGAGACCAGTGCCGGGCTGCCCTCCGGGCATCTGAGGAGGGGTGAGCGGCAGGGGCACTCGCAGTGGAGGGGTGGGCTCTGGGGTCGGCATGGATTGTGGGGTTCTAAGGAACGCGCTGAGACCTGGGAAGGTCCCCTCTGGGCCTCAGCTTCCTCGTCGGTCAGATGGGAAAGTCAGCACTCAAAGGCTTGCTTCTCTTCAGATCACCCGGCACCATCCATGTCACGAATGAAATGCCGGATTAAAACAGCACTTGGCCAACCAGAAAATGCTGGCAGAATTGCTTTAGGCAGCTCACAACTGGTCAGTGATCTGAGGAAGGCGTTTCACTCTCGGACCTCAGCTGGCAAATCCGTGGAAGGAGATGACCCTTGCGTTCCCTCCAGAGCTGACATTCTATAATTCCACAGCTTCATGTAAAATGCCTTCCGCCTTCACTTCTGCATCCTCAGCAACACAGGAGGCCTGGCACTAACAGATGCTCAGTGAGTGTTGGTGGCACTGAACTGAAAACTGCAATCCTCTGTTGCTCCAAACAACAGACCCATTGGTTTGCCCGAGAGTCCTTCTCACGTGATGTTGGCGTCCTTCTCTCGAGCAGCCCGGTGGGAGCTCACATTTCATATCTTAAGGCGGGCTGAGCAGCCTTCAGAGCCCACCCCTGCAGCATGGCTCATGACACACTACTGCCTCTGCACCAGCTCAACAAGGACCTGCTAAACCGATGACTATTCTTATTTGTTTTGAATGTCAAAGGCTTGGGCTGTGGGTGGGACCCTTTGGGGCTGAATGACCGGAGCTCCATGTAGACACATCCCACAATGGAGACCCAGTCAAGGCTGGCCCTTCAGTACAACGGGGCGGGCTAGGACCACCTGCAGGCTTTTGGCAGACCCTGTAAGAATTCCGAGTGGAGTAAACTTGACTGTGTTCTGACCCTCTTCTTGACGTCTAGCTTGAAATGAACCCAATTGCATGTCCCAGGAGGGAAGAGGAACATCCCCTTCAAAGCTCACACGTGGTCTTTTTGCTAAAAGAGTCTTGGAGGGTAACTGGGCTGGTTCTAGGCCTGGGTTTGCATCCAAAGGCTACGTCTTGTAAGGACCATGAACCCCCCTTATGAGCCTCAGTTTCCCATTGTACAGACGAGCACTGAGCCCACCCCAAAGAGCTGAAAGCAGGGACTCAGATACTTGTACACCACATTCTCAGAGCATTATCTGCAACAGCCACCTCATGGAGACAACGCAAACGTCCATCAACAGATGAAACGATAACTAAAGAGGACACGTGCTCCAACAGCCATGCACCTGAGGACCTTATGCTCCGTGAAATGAGCCAAACACAAAAGGACAAATATTGTAGATTCCACTCCCATGAAGCACTTCAGATGGTCCAATATGTGAGACGGAAAGCAGGATCGAGGGACCAGAGGCTGGGGGGAGGGTGAGGGGGAGTTATTGTCAGTGGGGTGCAGAGCTCCTATTTGGGGTGACGAATAGGCTCTGGAAACGGATAGTGATGACGGTCGCACTAACAGTGATGATGGTTGCACTAACAGTGATGATGGTCACGCTAATAGTGATGATGGCTGCACTATATTGTGAACAACTTAATGCCACTGAATCATAGACGTAAAAATTGTTAAAATAGTAAATTTTGTATTATATATTTTACTGCAACACTTTTAAATCTCTAAAACAAAGCAAAAAAACCCCACTGATATCACCGTTTCCACCCTGCATTTCAGGACCTGGGTCTCTGTCCTGGGCTGGAGAGGGTGAGGGAGGGAGGGGCCCAGACAAGGAGACAGCCCCGGCCAGCCCGCCTGTACCTTGAGTCTCATAGTAGACGACACCAGCAAAGTGGTTGATGCCGAACTGGGTCTCGTGGTTGTTCTTGGGAGGAATGTAGTTGGAGTTGAGCTTGTGCTGCGAGTTCAGCTTATGCAACATGGTGGCGTCCGTGCCCTGTGGGGACCGAGGGCAGCTGTCAGGCCTCCTCTCCCACACTCTCTACCTCCACTCCCCCCACTCTCCACCAGGCCCCACTGCCTGTCCTGCCCCACGTCTTTGCACCCCCTCTTCTGTCTTTCTTAAGAGCTTTTCTCCCTTTGCTTATAGCCCACAGAGGAGCTCTCTGAGCCTCCACTTCCCCACCATGATAATACAGTCCAGTTTAGAAAATCTACTCCTGGGAATAAAACTCTGGGAACAGTCCCTCCCACTCCAAGGCCTAGTCCGTGTGGGGAGCACCTATTCTGCGCCAGCTGCATGCTTAGATCTTCAGCGTTGGGTGCAGGACCCAGATGAATGCACTTGAGTTGGCCCAGAGCCACCCTGAGAGCGGGTGTCATTAGCCGCATTTTGCAGGTGAGGAGAGCGGAGGCTGGGTGTGGAGGATGCGCCCCACCACCACCACACACACACCCCCCAGCCCCCCGCAGGCCCACCTTGGGGAACTTGCTCTCCTCGTCGATGAGGGAGATGATGTTCATGGGCTTGTTGGCGATCATGTCCAGGGCGTCCTGGTTGTCGGTGAACTCGATGTGCAGCCAGTCGATGCTCTCCAGGTCGTACTCCTCCTGCTCCAGCTTGAACACGTGCCGCACGAAGAACTGCTGCAGGTGCTCGTTGGCGAAGTTGATGCAGAGCTGCTCGAAGCTGGGGAGGGGGGGATGCGCAGGGGACACAGGGACAAGGGGGCGTCGTTCAGGCCCTGCTCCACCGCTCGGGGGCCCAGCTCTGCCTCCACGTCTGAGGGGGCCCGGGACTGCCACGTCCAACCCCCTCATGAGCAGGAGGGGACACCAAGGCCCAGCGAGAGCAAAGCATCCCCCCAAAGTCACTCAGTGAGTCAGAGGGAGAGCTAAAGCCAGGGTCCGGGGCTCAGAACCCTTCCCCTGCATGACCAGGCCCTGGGGAGGGCAGGCAGGTGGGCTCCAGCCCCAGGCAGAGCGCCTGGGAGGGGCAGAGCCAAGGCTGGGGAGGTGGCCCAGGAGGAGCGGTCCAAAGTGTCAGCGGACTGGGGAGGGGGCTGGTGAGACTTGGAAGCAGAGCCTTGACGGCTGACATCTCTGAGCCACCAACTCAGCGCCCTCCCAGTGACACTCCGTGAATTCAATATGGGCGTTTTGGCGGGGTGTGGGGAGGGCTTCAAGACATCCAGACATTACAGGAACTGAGGCGACTTGCCAGGGGTCGCGCAGCTAGGAAGTGGGTCAGGGCCGGCTTCCTGACACCTGGGATCCACCTGGGCCTGTTCCATCCGTCTGCCCACATGGCCCCCCAAGAGTGTGGGCCTCCAAGTGTGGCCAAGACCCCCATCTCAACCTTGGCTCAGGCCCAGCCTCACTTGCTTCCAGGCACCTTGCAGCTGGGCACAGGCCAATGGGCAGCAGGGCCTGGGGTGTCCTTGACCATATAAGAGCCTCCCCACCACCACCCCCTCCTCGCTGGCCTCAGCTGGCCCAGGAACTGGAGGGGATGGGGAGGAAGGAGAGAGGGCCCACAGGGACGACGGGAGTCAAATTTCCCAGCAGCCTGGCAGAGTGAGTGTGGGGCCAACGAATGTAGTCTAAAGGGAGAGACGTGACCTTCCTGTCCATGTTGTGGAGGAAAAGTCCCGCAGGGCAGAGCCCCACCGCTACCTGTTCACAGCGAAGTTCTCGAACCCAAAGATGTCCAGGAGGCCGATGGACCGGCGAGAGTTCTTCACGTCCTGGGAGGGGGGCTTGTAAATCGCGGCGTTGATCTTGTCTACGATCCACACGAAGAGCCGCCCGTAGATCCCCTGAGAGGCAGGGCGGCTGCATCAGCCCCGGCCCAGCCACAGCCCCCAGGGAGACAGGCCATGTTCCTAGGCCCTGGAGGCCTCGCTCCAGCCCCTTCCGCGGGGTAGCAAGCTCTGAAATCCCACGCCTTTGCTCCAGCTGTGCCCCCTGCCCGGAGCACCCTTTTCTGCTTGGACAATTCCTATTGGTTTTTCAAAGCTCCCCAGGAAACCTTCCCTGACCTCAGAGTGTGGGGAGCCCTCCTTGGGACTCCCATTTCTCCATCCATCTCCGTCTCCCCATCAGCCCTGGATGCCTTGCGGGTCCCAAAGCCCAGCACAGGGCCTAGAGCAGGCACAGCAAGCGTGTGACTGTGGACACAGGCAGGATTCGGCACCCTGCCCACCCAGCCCAGTCTTTCTTCATTGTCTTCTTTGAAGAGACCAGAGAGGGTGCCCCTGGGCTGAGAGCAGCACAGCAGAGAGAATGTCCAAAGAACATGCCCCACATGAGGGCCAAGGGGCTGGAGATCAAAGCAGGCCAGGGTGCAGGGCCCCTGGGGGCACAACTCCCAGCCCTTGTGGGACTCAGCCCAAGGCAGCCAGTGGCTGGAGCCTGGGTCCAAGGGCAGGTGGGGGTCATGGCCCAGAGGCCCACCAGCTCTGTGGACCCCTCAGCTCCTGCTCGTCAACAACCCATCCTCCGGAGGGTGGGGAGAGCAGGGGCCACTCCGAAAGCCCACCTTGACGAAGGCATCGCGGACATCCAGCGCCTGCTCCCTGCTGAGCGGGGTGGACACCGTCTCGCCGCGGGTGATGAGGGTGCGGCTGGTCAGGCAGTTCATCAGGTCTGGGGGGTTCACCTGGTGGGGCGACACTGGGAGGTCACCGGGCCACCTGCCACCCCCCTAGAACTCCCACCACACCAAGAACCCCTCCCTCTTCACAACCAGGCCTCACTCAGACTGCTCCCTCCACTCAGACGGTCCCGCAGGGCAGAGCCCCACCGTAAGAATGCCCTTCCCAGGCCCTACAGCCAAATCCTCCCCACACCCCAACCCACCCCAACGCTGCCTGCGGAGGGAAATGCTCTCTGACAGCCCCTGCCTGCCCCGCCCCGCCCCCGCCCCCCCAACCCCACCCCCCCACCCCCCACTCCCCGTATGTCACCTGCCCTTCCCAGGACTGGCTCTTACTCTGGTTTTACTCATCGCCGTTTTCCAAGCCAGGGCCAAGCCTAGTGTTTGCTAAAGACTGACAGACTGATTCATTTGGGGCCCCCAACCCTGGTCCCCTAAGTCCCTGCTGCTCCCAAGACCAGCTGGGCGAAGAAAGGCTCTAGGCTCTCCTCCTCCTAGGGACCCGTGCCCAGCACAGATCCTGTGCACCATGGGTTCTCTGTGTTGAATTTCTAGAACTTTCCCAAGCAGAGGTCCCAGCTCCTTGGGCCCCACATGCTCAGCCCCTGGGCCTGAAGTCCAAACCGTCCCTCTGAGAGAAACAAAAACAGCTGAGGGGACAGAAGACCGGGCACTGACCTCGAGCAAGGATGCAGCTGTGGCCAGGGACGGGGAGAAGAGCACCTCGCAGGCATCCAGGTTTTCAAATGTCCTGGCTGTCAGCAGCAAGAGGGCACGGCATCAGGCAGGGGAGGGTGGGCAGGGGCCAAGGGGGCAGTCTAAGGGGACGAATGCCCACCCTGTCCACAGAGGACACCACACTCAGCTTCTCTGGTCAATGTATGTTTGATGAATGTTCTCATCATGAGCTATGGGCACCAGGAGCTTAGAAACCATGTGTAGCCAACACCTGGCACCCAGGTATCAGACACTGGAAGTCATGCCCCCGCCGCCCCCCCAGCCCCCTAGCCTTCACTCTAGGCTCCCAGAACAGCCCATGGCTCCTCCGAGACAGGTCCTGTGACCTTGCTTGGCTTAGTGCCTGATACTCTCTGTCCTTCCCCCAGTGCTTCCTCAGACCCCAGAGCCTCTGTATGAACTCTCCCTTCTGCCTGGTGTACCCTTTCTTCATCTCTTAGACTTTTTTTTTTTAAGAACTGACTTTGAGAGAGAGGAACATCAATTTGTTTTCCTACTCATGTATGCATTCTCTTGGTCTTTTAAGACTCACTAGACTGTGAGCTTCTTAGAGCTGGGATTATCCATCCATTCACCAAACAAACTTTCCAAGAGGGTCAGTTTCGACTTAAGCTCAGGCTCTTACTCAGTCGTGGACTGTATTGGATACCAAGGGCAAGAGCAAAGTGGAACTCGGTGCCTGCCTTAGAGGACCGTCTCCCAGCCTGGCACAGAGTAGGTGACCAGGGAGTGTTAGATGAGTGAGCATATTCTCTTTTCTAGCCTTTCCCCTTTTCTGAAGATGGATATTTAATCACTCATACCTTAGTATGACTTAATTAAAAAACTTACTCCCTCTCTAAGACACCTGACCTTAAGGAAGAAACCAAATTTGGAAGCGGTTTTAAAGGGCCAATAGAGCCCTGGCTGGTTTGGCTCAGTGGATAGAGCATCAGCCTGTGGATTGAAGGGTCCTGGGTCGATTCCGGTCAAGGGCACATGTCCGGGTTGCGAGCTCGATCCCCAGTAGGAGCAGCACAGAAGAGAGAATGTCCAAAGAATATGCCCCAGCATGAGGGCCAAGGGGCTGGAGATGAAAGCAGGCCAGGGTGCAGGGCCTGAGGGGTGTGCAGGAGGCAGCTGATCAATGATTCTCTCTCATCACTGATGTTTCTATCACTTTCTCCCTTCCTCTCTGAAGTCAATAAAAAAAATATTTTTTAAAATAAAGGGCCAATAGTCATCGCCCATTACACTTTATCCATACACCTGTATGGTGGAATTTCAGCACCTGAGTTAAACCACACCTGAGGCTAGGGGACCTGTTCAAATCTCCCACAGGCACATGCGACAGAAACTGAGACAGAACTGAGCCACCAGCACCCCCTGGACGGCTAGGCGTCATGCTGAGTGTTAGAAGTGAACTCTCAGTACAGGGTTGGGGAGTGGGGTGCACTGAGGCCCCTCACCCTCGTACTGCAGGTTGCCGAGGTGCAGGATGGAGGCCAGGAGCTTCGAGATCTCCCAGTTCTCTGTGTCAGTGAACATGAGCACCTTCATGGCGGAGCGGATGTTGGCATACTCCTGGCTGTCCTCGCGGCCCTCACAGGTTATGCAGTTGCCCTGGTGGGCAGGAGGGGGAGAGTGGGTGAAGGAGGGCATGGGGGGGCCCTCACTGCCCGGCCAAGCAGCCTGGCTCCGGGCACCATGACTCTCAGGAAGGCTACCAAGCTCCCACGTGGGCTGCTCGGGAACACATCTCCTCCGCCTGGAAACCCCGGATGCCCCATTTCCCACGAGTAAGAGGCCTGGGTCACTGACGCCAGGCCTGGTCCATCACCCTGCCTGCAGGCACAGCACCAAGGCCCTGCCATGCTCCCCTCCACCCAGGGACACCCACCCTCAGGGCCTGAACCCCTCACCGGGTGCAGCCTGGGGTGAAGAAGCATTGGCAGGGCCTGCCCCATTGTGTGTGCCTGTAGACCCATGTCTGTGTGTGTGTGTGTGTGTGTGTGTGTGTGTGTGTGTGCACGTTACACCTACAACACATACATGCACCTTCGTTGTCCCACATCCCTCAGGTGCCATTGCCCACACTTGTGTCCACACAGCTCAGCCCATCTCCAGGCAACCAGCCATCAGGTCTCCCCAGGAGAGACCTGAAGGAAGCTGGTGCCCCACAAGGCAGCCTGCTGTGTGGTAGCAATAGCCCTGGGTCCACTTCTCCTTGGTGGCCTGCCAGCAGCAAGAGGCTGGCACCAGAGCCCGGTAATCAGCGAGCCCTCGGGTATGAAGCCACTGTGTCCTGCACCCTGCACTCCTGGGGGGCCTGGCAGAGGCCCCAGTCTTCAAGTCTTTACACTACACTAATACAGTATATATGTACAGGTGGGCTCATGTATGTGTGTGTGTGTGTGTGTATGTGTCCCTGGGTCTGGGACGTCTACACACATTTACGTGTGTCTGTGGGGAGAATTTGCCTAGATGTGTGTGCAAGCAGGGGTGTACCCACGTGGGGAAGAGGCCTTAGGGCACACACAAGCCCAGGGTGGGCTGGGGGTGGGGCCGGCGAGAGGATGGGAGAAAGCCCACGTGGAAATTCCCACCCACCCGGCCTAGGGCTGGGGAGGGGCTGGATGGGCTGACCCCGGCCTCACTGGGATGGCTGTCCCCTCCCTGGATGCCCCGCCTGGACCTCACCATAGCCAAGTAGTTGTAGTCGGTGGCCTGGCCCAGGCCCAGCTTCTTCTTCTGGTCCTCGCCCATGCCCGCCAGCATGCAGTAGAACACGTGGTAGTTCCTCTCGTCAGGCGCCTGAAAACGGGGCACAGGTGTTGGGGGCAGGAGCACAGGGGGAGGCCGCCAGGAACCAATCAGGAAGCCTGGCCACACGGTTCGCTGTTTGAACAAGTGGCTTCTCTGAAAAAGCTCCCCTGGTGGTTCCATGGTGGGTTTCGGGCATGCAAGCAGGCAGCCGCCGAGGGACGACTGAGGCTATTCGGACGCGTGAATCCCACGCAGCACTGCGGCTCGGGGCTCTGTGAGGGACAGCTCTGCCCCCGGGCCTGGGCCCACCTGGCGACAGACGCGCGACTTCTCCAGCAGGTACTGCTCGATCTTGGCGCCCTCAATGGCACCCCGCTTGTTGAAGTGGATGTCAATGTACTTCCCGAAGCGGCTTGAGTTGTCGTTGCGAATGGTCTTGGCATTCCCGAAGGCTTCAGGGTGGGTAGAGGGTCACGGGCACGGTCAGCCCCCGCCCAGCCGCCCAGCCCTCCCCTGCGGCCCCTGGCCCTACCTTCCAGGATGGGGGTGGCCTCCAGCACCTGCTGCTCGATCCACGAGTGCTGCCCACTGATGGCCGCCAGGAACTGCAGGATCAGCTTCGTGCTCTCTGTCTTCCCTGCCCCAGACTCCCCACTGCAGACACCCAGACACAGGCAGGGCCTGTCACAGTCTGCGTTGTCCCCCTCCTCTTAGCGCTTCAGCCCAAGCTGCTTCCCCTACGAGTCCTCCCCCGTCTGTGTAATGGGCTGACAATAGAGACCATCCAGGTCTGGGAAGGCTAGAGGAGTTCATTGCTCTGCCACAACCAGAGGTTACTTTCCTCCCCCTTCATTCCGACATGCACACCCCTCCCTCCCTACTTGCTATATAGAATGGCACATATTATATTCTGGATCGTGCTTTGTCCTTTTACCCTCTGCCCAAGAGAGAACAGGATCCTGAGCTTTCCACTGACCATAACTTAATAGGAGCCAGCAGTCAATTCTAGTAAGGTTGGTCTCAAAAGCTAACATGAGCTTGGGTCGCATTAATAGAGATATAAGACCTGGGAAAGGGGAGGTGATTCTCAATACTACGAGACATTAGCAGGAGCACATAGCTAGTGCTCTCGGGGTTAAGCCTGGGCCTCCACCCTGGTGCTGGGCCACCCACCTGATGATGCAGCACTGGTCACGGCTGTTTCGTTTCATGTTGAAGTAGCAGTTGTCGGCAATGGCAAAGATGTGCGGGGGCATCTCCCCGATCTTCTTGTTGGTGTACTGGCGGATGTGCTCTGGCGAGTAGATGGAGAGCAGCTGGTAGGGGTTCACAGCCACCAGGATGGAGCCCGTGTACGTCTGTGGAGAGCAAGGGCCAGGGAGCTCACCGCTGCCCCCGTGGGAGGCTCTGACCCCAGAAGCTCTCAGGTTCTGTCTGCTCCCTCCCTCCGGAAGGGACAGCACTGGCTTTGGAGCCTCATGGCTCTGGTGCCAGAATCCCGCCTCCCTATGGCCTGGGGGCAGGTCTTCAGAGGAGCACTGGGCCTGGCTCAGAGGAGGTGTCAGGAACATTTGATGAAGGGAGGAAGGAAGTGAGGAGAGAGGGAGAAAGGTTTTCTGAGCCTTGATTTCTTTATCTTCATCTGTAAAATGGGCATAAATCAACTGGTTATGAAAATGAAAGAAAATTCCTAGCACACTGTAGGTATTCCTCAAATGCTGGCTCCCACCTTTGCCCCCAGCCCCACAGCCCGAACTTTTAGAGTGGAATTCTAAACTGGACCTTTCTAGAACAGAGGGAGGGGAACCAGGCCACAGGAGCTGAAGGGGCGAGCGGGTGTGGCTGGGTTGGGTGGGCCTCAGTCCCTGCAGCACTGCCCCTGAGCTTGGGGACGGGGCACCTCCAGACATCCTGGCAGTGCAGGCTCAGGGCCAGGGGCCCCTCCGAGAGCCTCTGTCTGTGGGCTCCCCGCTTAGTGCACAGAACGCCCACCTGTGCAAAATGTCCTGCTGTGGGCTTGGCCCTGCCACTCGGGGACAACAAGCCACCAGGACACAGTGAAGCACCCAGGGCTACTCCTCCCTCCTCCTGCCCCTCCCCACCCCACCCCGAAAGTACCAGGCCCAGCCTGTAATTGGCGATAAATGTGTTGACATCTGGGCCTGGACAGGCTGAAGAAAGATGTGACCTCACAGGGAGGTGACAGTCCGCCATTCCCGCCCGCCTAGGCCTCAGTGCCCCCCAGCAGCCCCAGCCCGAGGGGCCATGCAGGAAAGGCATTGCTGCGGGCAGGGAAAACACCCACCCGGGGCCAGGTGTGGCCACTGGAAGCCCTGGGCTGGGAGCCTGACACCCGGGCTCCAGTCCCGGCTCTGCCCGCCCTGGACCACCCTTCTCTGGGGCCCGGAGGACTCTCTCCCTCCAGGATCTACCTTCAAGCAGCCTGAGCCAGAGCGGCTGAGCTTCACCACACTGACCAGCTGACCGTGGGCAGGAGCCCCAGCAGGAAGAGACGGGGCAGGACACGGACAGGGAAGGAGGCTGGAGAGGAGCGGCCAGGCCAAGCACCATGGAGAGCTGGGTGGCTCTGTGCCACACTCACCCGCCCGCACAGCTGGTCTGAAGTTGGAAGGTGGGAGAGAAGGTCCTTCTCCACCAACAACCCCACCAGCCCAGGGCTGGGCTGACTGCTCAGAGCAGAACCTGCCGACCCGACCCGCAGCCCGGGACCCCGTCAGCCATCCTCCCCACAGCTCAGCCCTGCCCAGCGGTGGGAACCAGCTGGACTCTGGGCCCCGGGGGGTGAGTGGCCATAAGGAGCATCTCTGGCAGATCATCACTTTGAGTCTCCAGCCTGCGTTTGCTCATCTGTAAAGGGGGGTGGTTAACATCTACCTCCCAGGCTGTTGTAAAGTCCAAAGGGCATGACCTTTGCAGGTGCCTGGTGCAGAGCGGCTGCCCTAGGTGCCCCTTTTTTCCTCCTTATACCCCCTTAAAGCATCTGCTCACCCGCCTGGCCCCTGATCACCACGTGGCATGAGGCTGGCTCCATGCAGCACTGTCTCTGAGGCACACGGACCGCTGACAGCCCATCCCTGGGGGCCGTGGAGGGAAAGCCTGGGGCTCTGGGAGCTCAAGGACCCCCGTGAATTCCTCGAGGTAGGGTGGGGACAGGTGTCTCAGTGAGAATCGAGCATGAAAGGGCATGGCATTTGGGAGAAAGGTCAAAGGTCGCCCTGCAGCTGCAGGGAGAGGGGCGGCTGCTGCAGAGGCTGCAGGCAGAGACGGTATTTCAGACCTAATTTCAGTCAACAGGGAGCCAGACAGAGGTGGTCTGAGAGCCGGGTCTGTGACTGGGTGGGGCAGGGGCAGGGGCAGTGCCAGAGGCCCTGGGCTTGCTGAGACCCCAGGAGCACCTTCCTGGGGCCGCGCCCTGCCCCCTCCTCCCACCAGGGCTCCATGGCCTCTCCACTGGGCCCTCCTGGGCACCAGGCCCTCAGTCCCCTGCCTCTTGAGTGTCCCCACTGACGTCCACCGGCCTGTCCAGACCAGACCTCCTCTCCCTTCCAAGGGGCTCCTCCTCAGCCTCCCAGCTCGGCCCACACGCCACCACCACCCTTCCCCAGGCAGAGCAGGGCCTGGGAGCTCCCTCCACACCTCTCGCTCCTGCATACAGCCCACCTCTCTCCATCAGCATGGCCACCCCCCTGCTGGCCAAGCACCTCCCTGCTGGGCTCCCGGGTTCCACCCTGTCCACTCCCATCTACCCTCCATTGTGAGCAGGGTCAGCTTTTAAGCAACCTGAGCATGTCATCCCCATCCATTCCCACAACCTCAGGACAAAGTCCATATCCTGTCCCTGCCCACAAGACCCCGAGCCCGGCCCTCACAGCCTGGCCCTCACCAGCCCCATCCCACAGCCAGAGGCACCCTTCATATTAAACACCTCAGTTAAAAGCCCCACACTCCATCCCCTGCCCAGAGAACTTCTCATCCTTCCAGGCCAAGCTGAGAGGGACCTGCAGGAAGCCGCGCCCTCCTGTGTCCCCAGCACAGCTCACACCGGGACTTCACTTGGTCCACCTGACTCCGCTATAGCTCTGGTCCGCTCTCCCCTACACCCTGCACAGCACGCAGGGCCCTCAGCAAATGCTTACTGACTAACGCAAAGAGTGACTCCATTAATGGGTGACGAAAGTCCCTGCTGCCCAGGAAAAAGCAGGGAAGGGAGCTCGGGGGACAGGCCTGTCAGCAACACTAAGGCAGCCCTACCTATGCTGACGGGAAGGATGGCCCAGACATGTGGCCAGTGGAAAAGCATGGAACAGTTTGGGGGCAATGTTACCATCATAGACAAAAATTTTTAATTGTGTAACACATTTTATGTCATATATATATTAGAGGCCCAGTGCACAAAATTCATGCACTGCGGGGGGGATCCCTCAGCATGGCCTGCGCCCTCTCGCAGTCTGGGACCCCTCAGGGGGTGTCCGCCTGCTGGCTTAGGTCCAATCCCTCTCACAGTCTGCAGCCCAGGGCTCTTGCAGTGCGGGACCCCTTGCTCCTTACCGCCTGCCTGCAATGGAGGCAGGAGAGGCTCCCACCACTGCCCCTATGCTCGCTGGGCTTCTGGCTGAGCAGTGCTCCACCTGTGGGAGCGCACTGACCACCAGGGGGCAGCTCCTGCATTGAGCGTCTGCCCCCTGGTGGCCAATGCGTGTCATAGTGACCGGTCGTTCCACCGGTCATTCCGCTGGTCGTTACAGTGTTCAGTCGATTTGCGTATTAGGGTTTTATTATATAGGACACATATACAGTCAGTCCTCTATATCCACAGATTCCCCATCTATGGATTCAACCAACCATGAGTCAAAAATATTCAGAAAAAGTTACGTTGTTGCTGACCTACTATGTAGTTAGGCCAATGATGGTTGGGTCTGAACTGAACATGTATAGACTTTTTTCCTTGTCATTATTCCCTAAACAATAATAACTATTTACATAGCATTTACATTGTACTAGGTACCATTAGAGATTATTTAAAGCAGCGGCTGCCAACCGGTGGTCCACAGACCACTGGTGCTCCGTGAGGTCTGAACGGTTGGTGACCACTGATTTAAAGAATACAGGAGGGGGTGCATGGGTTATATGCAAATACCACACCCTTTCATATAAGGGATTTGAGCATCCACGGATTTGGGTATTGACTGGTGGTCCTGGAACCAATCCCCTGTGCACACTGGAGGATCGATTGGAAATTAATGGCAGTGGTTCTCTGTGTGGCAGAAGGAAAACGTTCTAATCTGTAGCGCGGACACCCATTTCAAAATAAATAATAAAAACAAGGCCTCTTCCTTCGGGGAGAGGACCCTCCCCCGCAGAAGGGCGAGGACACTCCACCTGACGGGAAGGTCCCGTTGGGCGCAGGGCTTCGCAGCTCACAGCATCTCCCCGCACCTCCTCAGAAGGCCGCTGAGAAGCGTAGTCACGCTCCCTTCTCAGAAGGGAGAGCTGCGCCTCCAGGAAGGAGAGTGGCTTCGAGATCACACAGCAGATAAGCAGGGAGTGGGATGAGCAAGGGACCTGGGCCCAGAGCCCCAGCTCTAGCTCTCCCACCTGGACCTCCCCAAATCTCAGGATGCACCTGCGGGACTGTGGAGCTGGCGGTGGGGTAGGAGAAGCAAGAGGCTTGCCACTGCCGGCTTGAGACCAGGCCCGCCTGCCCCTCTCTGGGCCTCGTGCCCATCCATCCCCTGAGACTCTCAGCACTGCTTCCCGAGCCCTCTGGCCTCTCTCTCCGAGAGTCCACAGTCAGCAGACAGTGACTGCCCACTTGCCCAGTGCAGGTCTCTTGCTCAAGTCTCAGTAATAAAACCTGCCCTGTGGGGCCCTGGGCTGGGCTGGAGGACAGATAAGGATGATTCCTAAGCCCCAACACAGCACACAAGGTCCCTAGGGGCCTCCAGGTCCCCAGGGGAAGATCAGGGGGCCTCCCCGAGGCCAGAAATACCACCCCCAAGATGTGGCAGGAATCCATTTTACCTCAAGCTCCACCTCCTCCAGGAAGCCCTCGGGTCTGCCAGCCTGCAGCCTCTACCTTAGCAGACCATGAATACCAAAACACATGCTGGGGCACACATACCTCCCCAGAGTCACAGAGGTGCCACCCAAGAGTCTCCTCATTGCACCGGAGGGAAGGCTGTGACCAGAGTGCCAGAGGTTCCCCAAAGGCCACTTGCCAAGACTGGGTGCAGGCCTCCCAGACCTCTGTTCAACATCAGGAAGTCCTGGTCCCTATCAGCCCTGCCACCTGTTCCCTGCAGAACCCAGGGACAGCCCCTGGCCTCTGGGTCCCCAATGAGAGATTGCCAGGTGTCCTCGGAGGGCCCCCTCCTATTGGCGTGCCTGGGCCGATTTGTGGCCTGGGTACTGTCTGTCCCGCGGGCTCCTGAGGGCGGGCCAGCTGTAGCAGGCAAGCCCAGGGCAGACAGTCAGGGACAGGGTGTCCCCCCGCTCATGGCTGTGAGCAGTGCGGTAATCTGAGGAAATCCGGGGTGTGCGGGGCTGTGCCCAGGGTAACCCAAGCCATGAAGTGACCAGGGTTGCCATGGTGAGGGACAGGTACGGTTTCTGAGTGGGACAACGGCCCGGCCCAGCTGCTTCTTCAGACCCTGCTCTCCTCCACATCACCCACCCAGTCACAGAACCATGGAGCCACCAAGTCCAGAAACTCCCTTGAACCCTAAAGCTCTTGAGCACGACTTCCCAGACACCCAGAATCTGAGGCCCATGGACGAGAAGGCTGGGTCCTTCCAGGGGCCATGGCTTGGTTTTCTGACCCGAGCCTCGGAATGAAGGCAGCTCCGTCCCCTGTCCCCTCCCTGCCCCCTCTCCCTCACCCAGAAAAGGGGTCAGAAAGGTTACTAGTGACTCTTCCGATGAGGCAGATGATGCAGATCCCGGGATTTTCTGGAGAATCTACAACCTCTGGAATGGTTTTCTTTGACCCCTAGTCAGCCTTCTGAAGACACAATGTCCAGCCGCTTTCTCCACCAGCTGCCAGCCAATCACAAGTAGGATTCACTGATCCTGGGACTCTGAAGTTCCCCACCCACCGCAGCCCTTCTGAACCCGCCTTTGCCTTTTTCCTTGATTCAGTCTACGAACCAACTGCCTCCCACGTGAGCAACCAGTTTGTCTGCAAAATCACTGAACTGTGTACAATAACCACCTTCAAGCCTCAGAGTGATTCTCAGACACGGTCTGCAGGGTCCACGGTGGAGACACCTCCCACCTCCCTCAGCTCCTCCCTGGGCGGGGCCCGGCCTCCTGGCAGGAGGGTGGGTCAGGAAATGGCTCTGGCAGTGACCTCGGGTGGGTGGGCACCTCCCTGCTGCATCCAGACTCAGTGCCAGCCTCCACTCAGCCTGAGGGAGTGGCCACGGAGCGCCCTGGACCCCGCGGTGTCCACCTGCCACCCAGGGAGAGGAGCAAGGGGGGGACTGCCAATGACTGGGGTGCAGACACCAGTGGGCCCTCAGGGGAATCTCTGGCCTTGACTCGAATTCTAGCCCCCCACCCTGTCAGTGCAAAGGGCTCCCTGTGAAAGCCGCTTGCTGTGCCTGCGCCAGGGGTGATGCCAAGGGCCCAGACACAGCCTCTCCTTGGGAGCCTGAAGCCCCAGAGGCACCCACTGTGGGGAGGGTAGCAGAGGGCCTCCCAGCAGCTCCGGGGCCACAGTGCCCGGGCTTCTAAGGGGATGGGCCCCTCGCCCAGAGAGCTCCTTGCTGTGATTCCTCAGGGGCAACCCCTGGCTCCCCTTCATGGTCCTCACAACCTGAACGACCCTGTGCCGCTCACTCACCAGGCGTGGTCCTGTCTCCGCCTCTAGGCATGCAGTGCCCTTCCCTGAATGCCATCTCTACCAGCCAGCCTCACGCACCTCCAGGAGCCCCACCACTCTCCCCGAGCTGGGAGTGGCACCTCCCTCCTGCAAATCCCTCGGAACCTTCTCCGCACTTCTCCCAGGCACTTGTCACCCCACAGCCCCCTGAGCATGCCCTCCATACCAGCCTGCCCAGGGCCTGGGGACTGGCCTCGGGGGCTCCCTCCGCTCTCTCCCTGCACACTGCTGTGGGCCTGGCTAAACCTCGTGGGGTGTCAGTCTTCCTGTCTGTAAAATGGGACTATTGGAGTAGATCCACAGCTGTAAGTGTGGCCCAAAGACCTCTGAGGGTCCCCAGACACTTTTAGAAAGTCCACCAGGTCTTTCTTTTCCACCTGCATATCAGTGAGGCCAGATTTTCTTCATATACTTTAACTAAAACATCAGCCTGGATGCAGAGCAGATATGAGAATCCAGTTGTCTTCTGTTAAAGCCAGACATTAAGGATATTTGAAAATATTGTAAAACAATGTCACTCATCTCATTATCTTTTTTTTTTTTTTGCAAATATAGTTCTTTTTCATAACAATATGTTATCTTGTCATGGATTTTTATAGTTATTTTTAAATGAATTAATAAAATGTTTGAAGTTTCCCGGTTTTCATTCCTAATGTGGTAAATATCAGTAGACATTACTCACATAAACACACTTTGGGGTCCTCAATAATTTCTTTTTTTGGTTAATCCTCACCCAAGGATATTTTTCCATTGATTTTTAGGGAGAGTGGAAGAAAGAGAAGACAGAGGGAAACATCGATGTGAGAGAAACACATTGATTGGCTGCTTCCTGCACGAGGCCTGACCAGGGCCAGGGCCTGCAACCAAGGTACGTGCCCTTGACTGGAATCGAACCTGGGACCCTTTGGTCCGCAGGCCGACACTCTATCCACTGAGTCAAACCGGCTATGTCTCCTCAATTATTTTTAAGAGCACAAAGGGTTCCTGGGTCAAAAAGTGTGAGAACCTCTAATTAAATGATCTCCGTAGGGCCTTCTTGTTCTGATGGGCACTGCCTGCCCTCAACGCCCATGGGCCCCTCCTCCTCTTGGGATCAGCTCAGTCCTGTCTGGGGGAGACTGTCTTCATTTGTCTTGAGTTTCCAGGTGGAGTGTGGGGTGTAATATGGAGGTTTAGGGGAGGGGAGACAAGGAGCATGTTCCCTCCTCCATCCCCTGCCTGAGGATAGGACTCCCAACCCCTCCTCTCTTGACCTTGTGGACCCAATAGCAGGCCTGACCGCACAGCAGCCCCGGGTGGGCGGGGCAGCAGCTCCCTGTCTCTGGGCAAAGCACCGAGCCTCTCACCAGCTCTGCCCTGGCTTCCCCGTGGTTCCAAGACCTACGGAGGCACATGAACCTGTGGTACAAACAGCCTCCTTCCCCAGCCACAGACCACACAGGCCACGGCCCCAAAGAGAGGATGAGCCAGCCCCAGGGACACGGCAGAGGGGTCCCTGGCCCGGGGCCAGCAGCAGGCCTGGCAGTCTCGGGAGCCTGGGCCCCTGGGTGGCACTGGGGCCCGGGGCAGCCGGGCGGGCGGCACTCACATAGATGAGGTGGTCCCGGTAGCGGATGAGCAGGTTGCGCAGGATGCCAGCCTCATTGAGGTCCCCCAGGCGGATCATGTCCTCCACACCGTGGACCGACGTGGGGTGCATGGGCTTGATGTGCGTGGCCTTCTGCGGGGTGATCCAGTGTTCCTGCGGGAGGCACAGGGGCTTATGTCAGGGTGCGCTCCCGATCCCAGGCTGCGGGAGGATGGGGGAGAGGCCCTGGACAGAAGGGAACCCCCAGTCCGTGCAACCCTGCTAAGGGTTTTGTTCTCTTTATTCTCTTCCTCAGCCAAACACGTTGGGGACACATCCGTACTAACAGGTTTGAGTCTATGAGGACGGTGCTTCCCGCCCCAACCCCCAGGGGCCTCTCCTCCTCCTCTTAGGGATTCTCTCGACAGACCTCAGAGGCAGGCAGGCCAGGGACTGTGGCCCCATAGGTTGTCATAAAGGGGATGAGGTCCCCCAGTCACGTGCGGGATGGGATGGAAAGTGTAATACTTGGAGTTAGCCTTGGCTTCCAATCTAGACTCCGGTAAACAAATGCACAAAAAGTAACTTCAGAGAGTTCCAGGGATAAAGCAACAGGCACAGAGCATGGAGAGCCACTGGGGGATCGACGTTAGACAATGTGGTCAGGGGCCACCTCTCCGAGGAGGGGGTAGTTAAGCTCAGACCTGAGTGATAAGAAAGAGACCCGGTAAGATGTGGGAGTCCCTTGCCCTGGCCGGTTTGGCTCAGTGGATAAAGCGTCGGCCTGGGGACTGAGAGGTCCTGGGTTCAATTCCAGTCAAGGGCATGTATGTTGGTTGCAGGCACAACCCCAGTGGGGGGTGTGCAGGAGGCAGCTGATCGATGTTTCTACTCTCTGTCCCTCTCCCTTCCTCTCTGTGGAAAATAAATAAAATATATTTTTTTAAAAAAAGAAAAAAGATGTGGGAGTCCCCACAAGAGGAAATTCCAGGTCCAGGGAACGGCATATGCACAGGCTGAGGCTGGTGAAGGGGAGAAGTGGACCTATTTGGCGGCGGGGGGGGGGGGGGGGGGGAGGCGGGGGAGGGGGCGGGTGTATTTCATGGGTTTGATGCCCGTGGAGGGGGCGCTTTCACTACTGAGCAGAAGCAGAAACAGGACAGGTTGCCCTCCGGCTCCCCTCCTCTTCCCTGCAATATTCCCTGCTGCCACCGGGTGGCAGACGGTGGAGCATCTGGCCAACAGCATTGACTCTCAACAAACTTGCAAAGTCCAGGTTTCCTCCCAGCACTGGAAGCCTCTCCCGCCACCCTCCACCCCTCACCTTCCCCCTAGTCTCCAGCACCTTCTCCTCACAATGCCAGCCCTCCAGAGAAGTGAGTCTGACCTGTGCTCTGGGGTGTGGCCACAGCCTGAGTCAAGCCCCCACAGACCTCTGGGGCCCCCTCCCTCCTCCCATACGCCAGAACCCTGGGGTCCTGACTTTGGGGTCCCTCTGCCACCTTCCAGCTCAAGCCTCCGACTTGCTGAGCAGGTGTGTTGGACAAGTCATGATTCTCCTCCAGGTCCCCTCGGGGAGAACCAGCCCCTGCAGCTAGATGCTAGCAGGAATCTTCTTAGCAGGAATCTGGGCATCGCCGCCCCCCCATCCCATCTCACCCCCAATCCAACTGGTCACCACTCCTACCCATTCAATCCTCTAAAGCGCCCTCCTCGCCAACCTCAAACCCCTACGCTGATCCTGATCCGGAACACCAGCTCTCACCTGGTCCCTGCCCCCTGCTGTCCTCTACCTCCCCTCCAGCCCTCCCCTCCCACCCCTCACCCCCTGGCGTTTCCTCAGGCACCAGTCTGATCCCACCACTCTGGGGCTTTCAGCGCTTCTCTGACTCCCCCACACACATGCTCTTCAGCCTGGTGTTCAAGGGCCAGCGTGAGCCGGACACCAGGACCGCCAGCCTGTGCTCCAGTTACCTCTGTGCTTCCAGGCCAGGGGAGGCTGGTGTCCACGTCCCCAAACCCCTCTGTGACTGGCTTGTGCTGTGCCCTCTCCCTTCTTTCCGTCAGCCTTTGAGGCTCAGCTCAGATGTTCCCCAGTTTCCAAAGCCTCCATGACACGTCTGCCCACCCTCACATGCTCCACCTGCGCCCCCCGCCCACGTCCACCGCAAGCAGGGTCAGGGGCCCCCTCTGGGTCCCCACGTGGCCTGGGTCTCCCACTGCGAGGCAGTGGTCACCTGGGTTGCCACTGTCTGAGTGCAGCTCTGTCCCTGACCCACCCACCCCCAACTTGCCCCAGGCTGGGCGCTCCTGGGGGCCAGGCTCCCTGGCTGCCGTGTCCCTTCCACGGTGCCCCCTACAGGGACCGTGGCAGGGACTTGCTAATGGGCCAGTGGCCAGCTGGCGAGCACGGCGGACCAGGTCTGAATCAAGCAGAAGTCCTGGTCACGGGGACCCCAGAGGTCTCCTATCCCAACCCCTCACTTCACCTGGGGGACTAGGACCAGAGCAGGGCGGTGGCCTGCACAAGGCCCTCAGAGGCTCAGGCCCAGGCCAGCCAGTGCCCACACCCTCGGTTTCCCTGGCATTTCCAGGCACCTCCTGGGCCAGGAGCAATTCAATCCAGGCCAGGCCCTCACGCAGCTCTCCCCGCGGCATGAATGGGCTGGGCGGTGAGATCGAAGAACGCGCCTGGGCTTTCCAGTCCCAAGCGGAACATTCCTCTCGCCCAGGCTCCCTGTTCCTCGTAAAAGCTGATCCAGGTGGAAAATTCCCTCCGCCTGGTCCCCTCTCACTGACTGTGGGCTGGAGAGAGGACTCCCGGGCAAGCTGTCTGCCTTCCCCACTGGACCCCAACTCTGGGCTCATAATTACCCCCCGAACCGCTCAGCACAGAGAAGAGGCGACTCAGCCCCTGTGTGACCCTGTAACCCTGTGCATGTCACTGCTCCCCTGGGCCTCCACGACCTCACCTACGAAATGGGAATTAGAGCAACAGTCCCTTCTTCTTGGGGATGTTGGGAGGATTCACTGATACAATGAAGGCTGACCTTTGTTTTACTCCTGCGAGATCTACAAAGGAGCCTGGGCATTCCTCAGCCAGCGCTGGGTGTTATACTCCCTCGGGACAGAGCGACCGGCCACTGGTTTACAGTGAGGAGTCACGCTCCAGAGGTACAGTGGCCTGTCCAGTCCAAAGGCAGAGCTGAGTCTCTCCCCACCCCTTTCCAGCTGAGGCAGCACCCTCAGGTCAATGTCCACCCACAACACGGACCAAAGTGTAACCAGGGCGGAAACCAAGGCCTGGCCCTGAGAGAGAGGGGGAGGGAGCGAGAGAGACCATGGCCAATTGCAGGGACTGTGGCACATGTGGAAAAGAGCTGGCCTGGCACTGAGCTCGGAGAGAGGGGGGCCACATGCTCTGAGAGGGAGAGAAGGAGGCGCATCTGGCCACGGGAAGGGCTTGGGCAAAGGCGGAGTGTTAGGATTCCAATGAGGACTGCAACCATGACCTGCCATTCATTCACTTATTCATTCATTCAGCAGGCCTCTTTGGAGAACGTTGTCTGGGCAGACCCTTTGTTGCGCTCTGGAGAACTGGATGTGAGTCACCTGGTCCCTACCCTCAAGTTGAAGAAGTCTATGGGATGACAGGAATAAAAGAGAGGGCCTGGAGGGGTGAGGCGGGCATGAGCGTGAGAAAGGCTGGTGAAAGAGGAGGCCAGAGCCCAGGCACCCGATTCCACTGAGGCAAGCCCATCCTCCCCATCCTGCTCCACGTCAGCCAGTCATGCAGCCCCCGCTCTTACGGCCTCAGTGAAGGTGGCTGGGAGGGGACGTCTGAGATCTGGTGACACAGTTACGGGACACCATCTGACATGCAACATGACCCAGCTGAAACTCAAGCCTGCAGGCAGCGTCCCGGGGCCCCACCCTGAAGGCTGCAGGCAGGTTCGTGGGCCTGTCTGTGCCGCCAGCCCCCCTTTTGTGGCTGCAGCCAGTGGCTTCCTGGGGCGTCTGAGAACTGGAGCCTCAGGAATGACCCTGCAGGCGCTCCCAAACCCAGGGCACAAAAGGTGGTCAATGAACCTGAGCCCCAAGTGGCCACTGAGATGTTGGGAGGGGAATGGGATGCACAGAGGCCAGAGGGCCTGGGTCCTCACCCCAGCACCGTCACCTGCAGCTGTGTGACTAGTTCCCTGGCCCCTCTCTGTGCGCAGTGTCCCTGGGGGTAACAGTGGCTGCCCACTTGGCCTGTCACAGATGCTGTGAGGACCCAAAGACGGAACGGGGTCAAAGGGCTGTGCAGACCCTGATGGGGATGTCCCGGGAGCTGCAGGGGTAACAGTGATGCCCTCTCCCTCCATGTCCACTACAAGGCCTCCATCGTCCTGAGCCCTCCCCTCTCCCCAGCAGAGCCTTCTGCTCCACGTTGCTGTCCCCTCCTTCTCCCCCATCAGACTAGGAGGCTAAGACAAGGACTCAGTCCCATCTCTATTGGGCTAGAGATGAGTACAACCCAAATTATGGTGGGACTGAATCTCTCTGAGTCCCTCACGTCCCTGCTAAGCAGCCACCCTGTTCTCTGCACCACATCTGCACGTCCCCATGCACATACACACGTGCAACACACATGCACATGTGTTCAGAGGCTTCCCCTCTGAGCCCTCATCCAGACCGTGCACCTTCCTCACACCTTTCCTTCCCTCCTCAAAGCCCCACTCCCACTACCAACTCACACTCCCCGTGTTCCCTCTCCTTCAGGAGACACGGGAGATAAAAGGTTAACCCGTCAGGCTGATTCCCAGGGGAAGTCAGGTGGACAATGAATTCACAGGATGCCTTAACCCAATAGAGCAGTGGTTCTCAACCTTCCTAATGCCGCGACCCTTTAATACAGTTCCTCATGTTGTGGTGACCCCCAATTTCATTGTTACAAATGGAACATAATTAAAGCATAGTGATTAATCACAAAAACAATATGTAATTATATATGTGTTTTCCGATGGTCTTAGGCGACCCCTGTGAAAGGGTCGTTCGACCCCCCAAGGGGTCGCGACCCACAGGTTGAGAACCGCTGCAATAGATCGAGACCAAGGGTGTTTCCAAGCTCTCACTTTCCTGGGGTGTTCTCCATGTGTGATCTCATTTGTGGGTCAACACCCTGTGACATAGTTCCTGTTATCCCCATTTTACAGAAGAAAACAGTGAGGCTCAGGAGGAAAAAAGACTTGGCAAAGCTTGCACAGCTAGTCAGTGGGCGATGGAATATGAGCCTAGTCTGTCCAACCCTGAAGCACACTGGTGTCTGAAGAGCTCCCAGCCTGGGGCACCCGCCGCCTCACTGCACATGTGCACACGCCCGCGCAGACACACATCTCTAACACTAGGAAGCATGGACTATGCTTGTGGACATAGAACAGGCAGCCTGGGGCAGAAGAGGAGAACTCCATGGGGGGGAGGGGCAGTGAGAGGTGACAGTGAGGGCATAGGCACCACCTCTACCCCCTTGAGGGGGGTCACTGCTTGGTGCCTACCTCAGGTCACCTGTCAGCCCATGTCCTCCCCAGGGCATGGGGATGGGGGGAGATAGGGGGCTACTCACATTGCCCTCATCGTCCACCACCTGGATCTGCCCAGAGTCGCAGAGCTTCACCACCGCCCCGATGGGCACATCGAACTCCTGCCCGGATCTCAGGTCCATCCAGACATAGTCCCCCTGTGGGTGACAGACATCCCAGGCCAGGTCAGCAGGGTTGAGGTTCGGGCACCCCTTCCAAGCAGCCCTGTGCCCCATCCCCACCCCCACCAGAGGCTTCTGTGCCAACCACAGGAGAGGGAAGAAAAAGGTACTTGCACTTGCTGAAAGCCATTTGGTGCCAGGCCCTGGGCTGGGCATTTATGCAATGTCATCGCCCCCCCACTGTAGCAGCCATCACTGCCCTGATTTTACAGATGAAAAGCAGAGGCTTGGAGAGAAGAGCCGAGGTCACACAGCTGGGCAGCTTCGACCCCAGGCCTGTCCCAAGCCCGGCTCTCTGAGGCTCTGCACCTCACACATGTAGAGCGGACTCACTGAGGTTTAGGTAGAAACACCAAGACACCCAAACCACGTCTCCTCGGTCCTAAAGGAGGCGGCCCCACAGGACACCCGAAAGGGCCGATTCTCATCGTTGTAGTTAAGGGTTCCTCACAGTGACAGCGCTCGGGGCCGGGCCCCGTGATATGAGTTCAGTCGCACCGTCTCCTGGCTTGTGGGTAGAGCCCTGACCCTGGGGGGGGGGGGGGGGGGGGGCGGGGGGGGAGTGGGGGGTCATGTTTATGTCCTCGGAAGCAGCTGCCGTAGGGCCTGCCTCTCAATAGGGCACGTGGAAGCCAAATGTAAAACCCAGAGTCAGAGAAACGGACTTCGAGCCACCACTTTCCGCCACGATGCAGTCAACAAGCATGTATGGAGCACCTGCTGAACACACGGCACCGACTGAGCCAAATGCTGGGATGGAGCAGCGACATGGAGTCTGCACTCTGGCTGGGAGGACACAGAAAACAAAGAGCCAAGCAAGTACGTTAACTCGACCACGCTGAATGGTGGTGAGGGCTGTGAGGGAGATGCGCACCGCGGTGGAGAACGGCTCAGTGGCCGGCCGTAGGTGCAGTAGCCAGGGACGCCGCTCTGTGCAGGAAATCTCTGAGCTGAGACCCAAAAGGCGAGACGCAGCCAGACAAGGAAAGAACAAGGACAGAAATCTGGGCAGAGGGAATGACACGTGCAGAGGCCCCAAGGCAGGAAGGAACGGCAAGGAGGCCCCTGTGTCAGGACCTGAGGAGAGAGAGGTCAGTCACAGGGTGGGCACACTCCGGGGAAGAGGGGCTCTCACTGGCCTGCAAGTAAGTGTTTGGATTTTATTCTAATCCTCATAAGAATATTCTTTTTGGTGGTTCCCAAATTCTCCAGGAGGTAGACATCCTAATAAAAATATAACTTAGAAACCTAACAGCTGATAAAAACTGACTCGCAATGAAATTAGCCCATGGGAAGGGCCCAGGGAAAGAGCGCTGGGCTGTGAGTCAGGAGGCTGGGTTGTAGGACCCGCTTGGCCTTGGACCAGTGGCTGACCACTCGGAGCCTCCGTTTCCACATGTCCCAGTGAGAGGTGGGCTCAGTGAGTCTCAAGGTCAACTCATCACTGTTCCAATCCCCTCCGATTCACACTGGAAACAACTATTTTTCAGCCACAGCTGCCACTGTGGGTCTTTGCTTTATGGGAGGTTAGCGCATGTTAGAGACAGGCTTCGTCCAAACCCAAGCTTTTCCCCAGAAAAAGTCAACATAATTGGAGAGCCTATGGGAGGGGAGGAGAACTTACGTGTTTACTGAGCATCTACTGTGTGCCCGGCCTGCATGGCTGCTTCCATAAACGGCCCCCTGTAACCCCCATGTCTGCTTTAGACCGGGGCCCAAGCTGAGCTTCCTGAGTGCTAGCCCTGGGGCCACCTGACACCCCCCTGCCCAGGCTGTTCTTCTTCACCTGCCCACCACCCCCTGTCTGTCCAGATCCAGAACAAATAGCATCTCTCCTTGCCCCTCCGAACCTCCCTACTTTCCTCCTCCTCCTCCTCCCCAACTCCTGAAGAGTTCATTCATTAATTCAGCACATATTTGCGGAGAGCCAGCTGTGGGCCAGGCCTGGGCCAGGCTTTGGGGGCAGAGCAGTGACCCGGCAGAGTGCCAGGGGCAGCAGTGGCAGCCCTGAAAGCCATGGACAGGCGCTGGGCTTTTAAGTATGAAGCCAGTGGGAGGTGTTAAGCAGGTTTAAGCAGGAAAGGAGTGATGTTCAGAGCTTCACCCTGGCTGCTCTGTGGAGAATGAAGGCATCCCTTGGTGCAGCCAGCACCACGCCAGGTCATCACCACCTGAGTCCATTCCCCACCGGCCTGCGGGGCTGGGTCTGAGTCTTCATCTGTGACTTCCCAGGGTCAAACGCAGGAAAGCAAAATTTGTCCCAGAGAGAGAGAGAGAGAGAGAGAGAGAGAGAGAGAGAGAGAGGCACACATGAGCATACAAGTGAGAGGGTGTGTGTGTGAGTATGTAAGAAAGAGCACGTGTGAGAGAGGAGGGTGTGTTGTGTGTGCGTGTGTGTGTGTGTGTGTGTGTGTGAGAGAGAGAGAGAGAGAGAGACAGAGAGAGACAGAGAGAGACAGAGAGAGAGGGGGGGGGAGCTGACTGACTCCAGGACATTGCTCTGTGCTGACTCACAATGACCCCCACAATGTTTCCCTCAACCTATTTCATGGAACATCATGATAACCTTTAGGCAGGAGATTCCATCTCCGATTATCTCCACAAGGACGTCAAGAAACGTGCTCCCGTTCACACGGCCATTTTGTGGCAGAGCCAGAAATGAAGCCTAGCCTGACCAACTCCAAACCCAGGGCTTTCTCCCGACATGCCCTGGGCCCAACCCTGTACAGCTCTGTGAGCAGAACGCAGAGCACTGATAAGGTCTCTGCCCGCAGACAATTCATGGGCCCAAAAGGCCAGCTGGAAGCTTGGGCTGGGGGTAGCCAGAGGGCAAGGCTAGCTGCGTCATCTGGACCCCCCAACCCAGCTCAGAGTCTGGCACACAGAAAATGCATCCCCCTCAGGGAACAGAAAACCAAAATGAAAGACCTGGTGTCAGCAGGAGATGGAGGCTCAGAGAGGCTGAGCAAGGAGCGTGGGGCCACACAGCAAAGAGAAGGGACTAGAGCCACCTAACCAAGGCCTGATACCAGGAGGACAGTGACTTAAGTGTCTCTGCTTAGGTCTTGTGGACGAAAGGGGCCACATGCTAACCTGACAAGCTCAGGGGAGGCCTGGATGGCAGTTTTGCAAACTTGGAGACCTAAAGTAACCACAAAGGATGGTCTGAAATTAAACTTTAACTAAAAGCAGTTATGGTGGGCAGTTACGTCCTAGGCCAGTATCTTCACTGACAAGGTCAACCTTTACCATAACTGAGCCTATCTGTCTTTTTGCATCTATGATAACATATCCTTGAAATGTCTGGGTAACTTGTGACTTCCCTGTATCTGGAGCCCCTGGGGCACAACCTAATGTGCTGGGTCCCAGGACAGATACCACAGATTCCTTCATCATCATGTTAATTATTCCTGCACCCACCTAAGTATGTGTCCATCATTTTACTTTTTATCCAATCCCAGAGGTTTCCCCCGCTTCGCTTAATCCCACCTCCTTAATCTATCCCCAATGAATTTCATGTAACCCACCTATGTCCCTCCTTTGATTAGAATGTATAAATACGGATGTAACCCTGCCATTCTCCAGAGCACTGTCTCAATTCATTGAGGTTCTGCTTCCCGGCATATGTCGACAGTTTGGCTCAAATAAACTCACAAAAATTCTTTACAGGTTTCAATGGTTTTTTTATGTTAACAGTCTGAACTTGGGGAAAGAGGCTAAAATGGCAGCTAAGAGGCTTCAGGGAGAATTCTGGGGCCTGAGAACCCTGAGGGGGAAAGGCCCATGGTCCCAGGGAAGGTCCTTGGAGCATTAGAATAGAAGGGACACTGAGCTCCAGGTTAACCCCGCCAGACGCTCCCATCCCCATGGCCAGACTCCAGGCGTCCCCATGACTGCATCTGGCCCCATTCCTACCACCCCTCCAGGAGGGCACCCCACTGGGGACCTCACCTTGAACTGAAAACCCCACTTGCAGTGTGACACACCTCAGTGTGACTGTGTGACTCAGGACAAGTTCCAGCTTCTCTGCTATGAATATGGGGCTGGAGCAGAGTGGGTACCCCAAAACCCTGGTGGGGCCCCTCAGGGAAGCAGAAGAGAGTGGGTTCAGGTCCCAGTTCTCCCACTGACACCATGTGACTTTGGGTAAGTCTTTCAGACTCTCTGGGCCTCAGTGTTCAACAGCCTTAAAATGGGAAGAGGGCAGCGGCCGTGAAGGTGAGAGAGCCACGCAAATGCCAGCTGTGCTGGACATCTCCCACCTCCCGCCCAGGCAGGAGCCCCATTTCTCCTCAAGGGCCTTAGTCCCTTATGCCTCTTCCCTCCTCTGGGGCGGGGCCTGGGGCTCAGTCCCGGTTTGTGGAATGAAAAGGAGTCTGTTTCAGGACATCTCTCCCCCCGCCCACCCCCCCAAATCCTCATAATGGCTCTAGGACACTGGTTTTATTAGCCCCAATTTCCACAGGTGGGAAAGGTGAGCCCACAGACGTGTCCAGGTGCCTGTGCGTAAGGAAGTGTCCAGTTGCTAACCTCGGTGATAGAGACTCAGTGGGCCAGCCAGTCCCCGGATGTCTACCAAGGCCCTGGGGCACCTGCTCGGCTCCCTGCGGGGACCCTCCTCGCACTGGCCATCCCCCTGGGTAAATGCACAGGCTCTCCCCGCAGGGAGGGGCCAACTCAGGCTGGGAGGCAGGGACCAAATGCAGCACCACCAGCCCCCATCCCCATCTGCGTGCACCCGAGGCTTCGCGACCCTGTGGTCCTCCCTGGCGCCTGACAGACAGGGAGGCCGAGGCTGGGCAGGGCCCCGAGGCGCACCCTCCCGCTCCCGCCGGGCCTCACCGGCATGACCGCGTAGGTCTTCAGCGCCTGGTTCAGGCTGCGCACCAGCGCCCACTTGCCGGGCTGCGGGGCGGGCGCCTCGGCGGAGGCGGAGGGGTCGGCAGGGTCGGCAGGGTCCGCGGGGCCCGCGGGGT